TCTGATGATTAGCGATGTGGAGCATCTTCTCATGTGTCTGTTGGCCATCTGAATTTATTCTTTGGAGAATTCAGCTCCTCTGCCCATTTTTTAATTGGATTATTTGCTTTTTGTTTGTTGAGGTGCGTGAGGTCTTTATATATTTTGGATGTCAACCCCTTATCGGATCTGTCATGTATGAACATATTCTCCCATACTGTAGGATGTCTTTTTGTTCTGTTGACGGTGTCCTTTGCTGTACAGAAGCTTTTCAGCTTGATATAGTCCCACTTGTTCATTTTTGCTTTTGTTTCCCTTGCCTGGGGAGAGATGTTCATGAAGAAGTCAATCATGTTTATGTCCAAGAGATTTTTGTCTAGGAGTTCTATGGTTTCATGACTTACATTCAGGTCTTTGACCCATTTTGACTTTCCTTTTGTGTGTGGGGTTAGACAGTGATCCAGTCTCATTCTCCTACATGTAGCGTCCGGTTTTGCCAGCACCATTTGTTGAAGAGACTGTCATTTCCCCACTGTATGTCCATGGCCCCTTTATCGAATATTAATTGACCATATATGTTTGGGTTAATTATGATATAATTTTAAATTAAAAAAAGGATGCCAATTATACCCATAATGACTATGCTGTAAAAATCATATGTGTAAATGCATAAGATTTAAAAGAAAACATGGATAATGGGGTATGTGGGGGGTCTTGATAACAGGGGGAGTCTAGTAACCATAATGTTGTTCAAGTAATTGCACACCATACCAAAACAAACAAATAAATAAATAAATAAGAAAACATGGAAAAGCGGACTCTAGGATGTGTAAATTTATAGTAATTAAAAAATATACTTCTCAAAAAAAAAGGGGGGGAACGACATCCTGACACCAGCTACAGTGTGGATGGACCTCGAGGACAAGGTGCTCAGTGACATAAGCCAGACACAGGACAGACCCTGTCTGACCCACTCCCAGGAGGTCCCCAGAGGAGCCCCATCCACAGAGACAGAAAGTGGACGGTGGGCCCGGGGGCTGGGGAAGGGGATGGAGAGTGTTTCATGGGGACAGAGCTTCCGCTTGGGAAGATGGAAAGTTCTGGAGATGGGGGAGGCGGGGGATGGGGACGGCTGCGTGACATGCGAATGAGCTTCATGCCGCTGAGCTGTGCTCTGAGAAATGGTGAAGATGGTATATTTTGTTGTTTATTGTAACACAGTAAAAGAAAGGAACCAAAACTGTATTTTGTGTACTGGGTGTGCATATATTTACGTTAGGAATAAATTCAGAAAAGTGTCCACATTTTTGACACAGCGTTTGCCATAAGGCGGGAGGGGGAGGAAATGGATGTGGGGGGGGAAATCCAGCTATTAATCTTTTTAAAAAGATCTGTAGTAAGTGTAACAAAATCCTAACAGGTGTTCATTTCTGGGGCAGGTATGTGGCTGTTTGTTCCTTTACCCCGGCAGATGTCTGTACTTTAAAAAATTATATTATTTTAAACAATTTATGTCTGGCTCTCTTCACTGGACCATATCCTGTGCATTTATTCACACCATTCCTGGCTTGTTTATCCAGTCTCCAGGGGATGGACATGCGTGTCGTTTCAAATTGTCTGCTTTTCTGATGGTGGGCTGTGAGTATCCTGGGGCACGTGTGCACAACTCAGCCGCTGCGTTGGGGGTAAACACCTCAAGGTAGTGTCCTTACGCTTCCACCACTGGAAGGGCAATGCTGCCTCCCTTTGATATTTGCTCAGACTGTCACCGACAGCCAACTCACCCTGTTCCCAACGCTCAAAGTCCAAGTGCCTCAGACAGGTCCTTCCAGCTCCCTGCGTCCCCACAGCGGGGAGCCAGCCACCCCAAGTGTTACAGATTTATTTTGACCTGCAAAACTTTATAGACAGGTGTGTGAGGACAGTCCCCGGGCGGGGGTGGGGGGACAGAACACCTGCCTGGGGCCTCCTGGGGCCCCTCCTCCATTGAGCCTCCCCTTCCTACCTGCAGATGGGGACTGATGGGGTACTCCCATCTGGTGGCTACTCTGTCGGGTGAGCCGGAGGCCAGCCTGCTTCACAAACTGTAAAGTGGGCAAGGCGGAGTGTATTTTAAATGTTTTGTACTGTTTGCCTGCAAGCTAGGCCCTTCAGTCCGTACATTCATTTAACTTTATGATGATGACGACTAAACTGAATGATCAGGCTCTCTGGCCCTTTACAGAAAAACTTTGCCAGCCCTATTATAGAGCAGTGGGTCGTAGGGTGTGAAATTCATTCATTCATCAAACGTATATGGAGTACCTTGCATTGGCGAATCCAAGCCCCTACCTCCCCTAGAGCTCACAGACTACCAGAGGGATAGAGAAGTAAATGGCACTTTCTACATGGCACTGAGGACAGAATAAAGTCCCTGAGAGAGTGGAAAGTCACCAGGCAGCAAGCACTGCCCTCTGACAACGGCACACAGCTCAGCTCCTCACCACGGCCGGTGCAGACCCGATGCACTGACATGTTGGGTGGGTTCTTCTGCTGTGGGGACCATCCTGGGCACTGCAGGACCCTCAGCAGCGGCCCTGGCCTCCACCCAGTAGATGTCAGGACCACCTCCAGTGGTGACACCCCCACTACATCTCCGGACAGGGCCATGTCCCCTGGGGGTTGGGACAAGCATGGGCGAGAAACACCGGTGTGAACACCCAAGGGCAGGCACAATCCTTGGCATACAGTAGGGACTCTGTTTCCATAACCACTTAATTTTTTTTTAATTAAGGTATCACTGATATACAGTTTTATGAAGGTTTCACATGAGCAACATTGCGGCTCCAACATTCGCGCATATTATTAAGTCCCCCCACCCGCCCCACTGCAGTCACTGTCCATCGGTGCAGTGAGATGCTACAGTCACCGCTTGTCTCCATGCTGTGCTGCCTTCCCCGTGCCCTACCTGTGAGTGCTGATTATGATGGCCCTTCATCCCCTTCTGCCTTCCTCCCCACTCGCCCTCCCCAACCCCTTCTCTTTGGTGACCTCTAATCAACACTTAGGTTGCTTCCATATCTTGGCTATTGTAAAGAATGCTGCGATAAACATAGGGGTGCATATGTCTTTCTGAATCAGGCATCTTGTTTTCTTTGGGTAAATTCCTAGGAGTGGAATTCCCAGGTCAAATGGTGTTTCTATTTTTAGTTTTTTGAGGAACCTCCGTACTGCTTTCCACCATGGTTGAACTAGTTTACATTCCCACCAGCAGTGTAGGAGGGTCCCCCTTTCTCCGCATCCTCGCCGACATCTGTTGTTGTCTGTCTTTTGGATGCTGGCCATCCTAGCTGGTGTGAGGTGATAGCTCACTGTGGTTTTAACTTGCATTTCCCTGATAATTAGCGATGTGGAGCATCTTTTCATGTGCCTGTTGGCCACCTGAATTTCTTCTTTGGAGAAGTGTCTGTTCACATCCTCCGCCCATTTTTTTTTAATAGGGTTATTTGTATTTTGGGTGTCGAGGCGTGTGAGCTGTTCATCTATTTTGGGTGTTAACCTTACTTGATAAGCTGTTTACAAATATACTCTCCCGTACTGTAGGACGCCTTTCTGTTCTGCTGATGGTGTCCTTTGCTGTACAGAAGCTTTTTAGTTTGATATAGTCCCGTCTATTCATTTGTGTTTTTGTTTCGCTTGCGCCCACGGAGATGTGTTCAGGGAAGAGTTGCTCATGTTTATACCCAAAAGATTTTTGCCTGTGCATAACGACTTAATTTTCAGGATTTGATTGCAGTTCTGCCCGGGTGTGTGACCTTGGGCGGGTCACTGACCCTCTCAGGCCGTCAGTACCGTTTTCTGCGTTGCCCCTTCACCATGCGAGCAGCAGGGGAGCACAACGCGGCGCCGTCGCCGTGCGTAACCCCGCGGGGGGGCGTGGCCTCCGCGCGCCGCTGACCCCACGCGGCTCTGCCGTTTCCGACTTGAGGCTGAACAAGGAAGCCGCAGCCGCGCCTGCGCCCCCGCGGTGCCTAGCCCGGTGCGCCCCAGCGCGCGAGCGCGCGAGCGAGCACGCACGCCCGTCACGTGCACGCACGCACGCCACGCGCTTGCACGCGGCTCTGTCTGCGAGCTCTCTTCTTCAGGGACTCCACTTCCCAGCGCGCCTCGCGGCGGCGCCGGCCAACTCCGAGAAAGAAGGCCGACGTGCGTCGACGCACGCAGGCACGCACGCGGGCGCACCCCTGGCTCCGCCCCCGGAGGCCCCGTGCGGGAGCGCGCCCGGGAGTGCGCAGGGCGGCGGCGCGGGCGCGGAGGCGCGCGGTCACCGTTGGCGCCGAGGGGAGGAGGCAGCGCACCCGCCGCCGTTGCGCAGATCCGGGCCGCGGCAGTGGGGAGGGCGTCGGGGCCGGTGACCTTCCGGAGGCGGGAGCGAGCCAGGGGCCCGGGACGCCGAGGGCCGCCGCCGTCGCCATGAACAACTCAGGCGCGGACGAGATCGGGTGAGGACACCGGGCCCGCGCCGCCGCCCGGCCCCCGCCCAGACGGCCAGGCCCAGTCAAGGTCACGCCGCGGGGCCGCGCCGGCGGCCTGGGGGCCGGAGGCCCGACGGGGCTGGGATCGGAGCGAGGATTTTGGGGTCCCGGTAGGCCGCGCCGCTGCCTGGCCGCGGGGGACCCTCGAATGCGAACCTGGGGGGTTCCTGGGACTTCCTGGCCGGGCAGGGGGCCTCGAACGGGAATTTGGGGGTGTCTTCGTTTGTTCTTGGCTGTGGAGAGACATCCAGTGGGAAACTTGGGTGGGGGGGGGTCCTGAGGGTCCCCGCCGCTTCCTGCCGGGGGAGAAACCTTGGACGGGAACCTGGGGGTCTTGGGGTCTGGGGCCCCCGCTTGGCCCGCGCGCCTGGATTTCCCGCTAGGGCTCACCGGATGGGGACCTGTAGGGGCCGGGGCGGCCCCGGCACGCGCACCGACTTGGCGGGTCGGCGCACGTGGCGGGCCCAGCCCGGGGGTTCCGCTTCTGCAGCCTAACTTCTTCCACTTTGGGGCTCATGGCTGCTGCTCCCGCCCTTTCCACTGCCCCCGCCAAGGAAGGTGCGCACACCGAGGGCCCCGCGGGGCCAAGGTCGAGGGGAGCGGTCCCGGGTCCCGTCCGGCGGGCCCCGCGGTGTCCACCATGCAGCACCCGGCCCCGATGGGGCGTCTGCAACTGTTGTTTTCATGTCGTTGGAGCCCCTTCCGCGCAGCCCCCATAGCCCTCGTGAGCGTATTGAGAATAAAGAAAAAGGGAACCTCGGGCCGAAGGACGGAACAGGCTTGCTACCCAGGCCTTTCTGCTCCACACAGCTATTAGCTAGAGGAGGTTTGTTGTAGCTCAGCTTTCCCCTTTAATTATAGCCTTGCCTGATGCTAAATGAGCCGGAGTTCCCAGAGAAGTGATCCCGAAGGAGCCAGAAAATCCATTTCTGTCCTAGTCGAGGGGTTTGGTCTAGTTTTCTTTGCAGAGACCCGCTCCTTAAGGAGTAGCGTGATTTTACAGTTAAATCCTTTCTTGAAGCAGCGGAACGGTGGTGGCAGGGCGTCTGTGCCCTTGTGCACGTTTCTTGTGTCCCTGGCTTTGAACAGACGCAGTGTTTACAAAGCACTTGATTTGGTGCGGGAGGTGGCCGGCCACCCCCCAACGGGCTCCAGCTGCAGGTTTCACCTGTGGACCTAAAATGATTATTTGTGGGTTCCCCTCTCCAAAAGTCCCCCACCATGGAGGCCTAGTTTGTGTCTAAGATGGTCCTGGCGCTAGGAGACTGCGTGGTGTGAGGTGGGTGAAGAGCTGCCGCACCTCCAGTGGGGGCACAGCTGAAACCAGTGAGTCCCACAGGCCAGTTAGTGGGTGTGCCCCCCAGGCTCAGCCTTCTGCAGCCAGGAGGAGAGCACAGGCAGCCTGGGGGGGAGGGAGGCAGGAGGGCGAGGATCCGCATCTGCAGGCCGCTCAGGGAGGCTGCCTCGCAGGTAGCAGAGCCAGGATTGAAATTGAGGTCCCTGATGGGCCGCTTTCCCTCCCCGCACTGGCAGATCTACCCGGGTCACCAGGTCTTAAACTTGTAAACCACAAATGTCTCATAGCTTTTTATTGCTTTGGAAGTAAAAAAATCTGTTGCCAAAAAATATTGACTAGTTTTTATTTCACGCAGGAGCCTTGTTCCTGTTGGATGTGGAGTCTGGGGTCCACTCTGACCCCCCGCTCTGTGCAGTCATGCCAGTACTGTGCTGCCACCCCAGTGGGCTCGCCGACAAGGGGTCCTCTTGCAGTTTACTGGCTGGACACCACAGCTATGGCTTTGGGTTATTACCATGTGGGCTTGTGTGCCATGCCCATCATAGTGATGGCAGAGTTCCCCGGATGTACCAGTCCGAGTGGTCTCTGATGACCCAACCTTCACTTGCAGCCCCTGTTGCTTTGGTCTCTGGTCAGCCCCACTTGAGCGGTTCCTGAGCAGTCCTCTGACAGGGCCCTGTGTGGGGGGGTTGTGGGGTCCAGCCCTTGGAGTGTGCGGTGCCTGGGGCACCACCCCATCAGGCATCTGTGCTGTGGAGTCTTGTCTTGAGTCTTGGAAGGAAGAGTTTCACTAAGTCTCACCTCAGCCTGAGCGGCTCAGAGGTCGGTGCGGAAGTCTGGTGGGAGCACAGAGCTGGATGAGATTCTGATTTTAGGGTTCCTGGTGTCCTGGTTGTCACAGCACAGAGGGGTGGGTGGTAGGAGCAGTGGGCGTCATGGGTGGCCCATGTGCCTAACGTGTGCCGAGCAGATGGCCACCCTTTGGAGCCAGGCCCGGCAGGGCAGGCGCTGCTGAGCGGACTGACCGAGTCCCCTTCCCTTGCTTTGACCTTTGAAAGTCCACTTAAAGGCCGCTTGATGCAGGTTCTGCCTGGCGTCTTGTTACCTCGGCACTGGGGAATAGCTCATTCCCGGTCAGGTGGTCAGGTGCCCACAGGTGTGGGGCAGCCGACTTGTGTCAGGGAGCTGGAGACTGGTGAGACAGGACACCTGAACATCGCAGAGGGACAGTCAGAGAGGCGGGGCTCTGTGGGGGGAGGCGAAGCCGGACAGACGGGAGTCTGCAGCCGCTTTAAGCCAGCACTCCTGGCGGCAGGGTGCTGGGCTCCTTCGCAGCCACGGCTCTCTGGAGGCTCACTGCTGAGGCTTAGAAAGTCGACGCCGTGAGCTGAGCTCTGGCTGTGCCTGGGCTGGTGGGGGCCAGGGCCGGAGAAGGCCAGCTTGTCGCATGCCTGTTTGTGTGGAGCGCCCAGGAGGTGGGAGGGCCATGTGTTTGGGGGAGAGGCTCCTTTGTGTGGTCGGTGGAGGTGCTCCTCTCTGGCTGCCGCCTCTGCGTTCTAGAGCTATTTGGGCTGGGGCTCCTCCCTTGGCACTGAGGCACTGGGCCATCATGGGCACTGGGACTCAGCGGCCTCATTGGCCCCCAGCCCTGTGATGCCAGGAGCTCCCCGAGTCATGGTGAGCACAGGCGTCCCCAGGCAGGATCTCTCCGAATGAGCCCCTGTGTGGGAATGCTGTCTCCAACCTTGTTCTCGAGGAGTGCGTGGCACCCGCTGTTGTGGCTGAGGACACATCCTATGCAGGCCTAGCGTGGCGCCTGCAATGTCGGCTGCACTGTCCGGAGGCGCTCCGGTTGGCTTCCTCCTGCCTCCAGTGGCTGCAGCAGACCTAGCACCAGGTGGCATGCCCTCCTGCATGCAGAGGCCCTCCCAGAGCGCATACTGTGGCGCAGCAGGCCTTCAGCAACTGGACAGCTGCCATGTGCGCAGACCCTTCCCTCTTCAGGGCGGACCGAGGCTTCGGGACCGGGGACTGGCCCAAGGTGACCCAGGGGTGGACAGATGGGAGCTGGGAGTCCTGCAGTCCTGGCGAATCGAGGGGCTTGGTCGGGCCCACTCCAGGGAGCTATGCCGTGTCCCAGCGCCAGGCCCTTAGTGGTGAGCCATGCTTTGGCAGAAGACAGCTCTTGCTGGGTGGCAGGGTGGTGGTGAGGAGGACACGAGTCCTGTCTGGGAGGTGATGCCAGGCACCAGGTGTTCCGTGGGCCCCTCCCAGGTCGTCAGCACAGGGCAGATCCTGGGGCTTCCCTGGTATCACACAGCCCCTGCAGAAACCCGGGTGGGGGGGGGTGCAGTACTACCCAGGTGGCAAGAGAGAGGCTGGAGGTGCGATGGGCGAGCTCTGGGGTGAGGCCTACGCCCCAGCAGCTGCCTCTGGGCCTTCGTGTCTGTTGTGGCAGAAGGGCCCAGAGGTGCGGTGCCCTCCTGGCTCCTGGGCTGTGTGTCTCTCCAGGGGCTGCGTCCCTTCCTTCAGGGAAATGAAGGCACAGGGAGCTGAGGCCCCACCCACTGGAGAGGCAGGAAGCGCGGGCCTGGACTCTGGCCGTGCACGCTGAGAACAGGGGCCTTTTGCCAAATAACCATGATGGTCCGGGCCCTCCGGTTCTTGCCCGCCTGAGCACAGCTCTCTCCCTCTCTGCTCCCCTTCTGTGGACCACTTGCCAGGTGGGATGGCACCTTCCCAAAGCCACTGAAGTTGTACTTCTGGCCTAAGTATTATGTGGACGCCCTAAGGTACACAGCAAGGGCAGGATAGCTGCCCAGGAGCAGGTTTCGGTTTCCGCAGGCAGAAGAGGGTGAATATTAACTGAGGTCGGGGCGCCAGGTCACTGCTGCAGAGCCGCTTCTAGGATGATGTCCCCGGCATCCGCTGTTGAGACAGAGCCCTGGGCACACTGGGTAAACAAAGGAAACAGAGGCAGGTGGAGCCTCAGGCCCTGGGAACAGGCGTGCTGGCCATGGACAGCCTCTCATGCTCCTTGTGGGCTTACAGGGTACGAGGTCCGGGGGCCTTGACTTCCAGCTTCAGCCAGGTAACTAAGGCTCCCAGAACCCAGCGGGTAGCTAGCCTTGAATCTGAGTCCTGGGTGCTGTGTGTCTGCGCTTGCCGTGCCCCTGCGCCAGGCATGCACGCCCATGTTGTTAGGAGATGGCTTTGCTGCAAGGACCCCTTTGTCTTCTGGGGTGCTTACTTGGGAGGCTGGCACCCAGGACCCTTCTGACTTTATTGGTTGGAAGTCTGAGGCTTAGAGGTTTGGGCTTTGTTCTGGGTCCTGGCGGTGGTCAGTGGGGTCTGCTGGGGCCTGTGGGGCCCTCCTGTCTGCAGACCTGGGAAAGTTTGCTTCTGGGGCAGGAGGAGAGGAAAGAGGGCCAGGTGAGGGGCCCAGCGCGGCGCTGGCATGGGGGCCCTGAGGTTTTTCCCTCCTGAGCTAACAAACTGTGTTCTGAGCTGTCCCTTTCTGTGAGGTTCCCTCCGGGATGGGCCTGTTTCCTGTCGTCCTGTCATTTCCTCAGGAATGAAACTTCCACAGAACTTCAGGCTTACAGAGCGATGGCAGGCATAGTGGCCAGCCACCCGTCGAGCCTCGCCGGTGGGCAGGCGTGCCCCTCATGCTGGGTGTCTTTCAGGAAGTCGTTGGGCATGTAGGGACGCCTGTGCCCCTGTGTGGACAGCTCCGTGTGTCCTGTCGTCCAAAGACAAAAGCGCCTCATACCAGAACATAGCACGACAGTGAGGCCAGGGCAGCGTTCGCGCCGAGTCGCCGTCCAGTCCCCGGGCAGATCCCAGTCGTGCTGGTTGTGCGGACGGTGGCTTTTCTGGTCTGTTCTCCTTGGTTCCCAAATCTGAAACTTAAACGAGGGCTGGAACTGTGACCGGTCCACGAGGCCCTCGTCTGGGGGCCGGGGGTGGCCGGCGGTTGCCTGGGGGCACCTGCTTGTTACTCTGCTTTTTGGGTTGGGTGCAGTGCCAAACAGAGGCCACATTTCCACGGGAAGTATTTGGTTTTTGGTTTTGGTTTTTGAGAACATTTGAGGTCTTTCTTCCTGAGTGAAGCTGCTCTCCCACAGTGAACCCTTGTTTGTTCCTGTGCCTAAGGGTGGCCTTCGTCATGTCTGCCCTGCGCCCCTGCTGTGGCCAGGCCCGCAGGAAGTGCCGGCCTGCAGGGCCTCAGGGAGGGGGGAGCGGCCTGGTCGGTGCGCGCCTGAGCCGTGGACGCCACGGCAGCCCGTTTGCTGGTGCTCTGAGGGTGGCGGGGGGCTTGTTTCTCAGATGCTAAATCGAGACCTTCCTTCCTTGGCGAGGAAGCCGGAGTGGGAAGGAGCCCCAAAGCCATTCAGTCGCCGGCATTGTGCGGGGGGCTGGCGCCCCGGCAGCACCGGGCAGGGGTGGGGGTTGTCCTCTGGCGGAGGGAGAGCCGCCCACCTCAGGCTGCGCAGGCCGTGATCTGCAGGGGGCTGTGGGGCCCCATGTCCCAGGTGGGGACCAAGCCTGGTCCACGCACTGGCATCTGCAGGCCCACCAGTTAGTGCTGGGTGCAGCTTTTCCTGGGGAAGCAGGCAGGGTGGAGGGTCACTGCCACCCAGGCCCTCCTGTCACACCCGTGTGGGTTGAGGAGGCCAGACATCCTGTCAAGAGACACAGCAGGGAACTTGTCCCCCGGCAAGGTGTGAGCGGGAGGGCACTCTCCCGGCTGCTCTTGAGAGGCCAGAATGGGCTCAGCTGGGCGCGGCGCCCGTCCCAGGGTGTGCAGGCCCGCGGCAGTCTTCCCCAAGTCCTGCTGCACCCGCCCAGAAGGACAGCCCAGGCCCCGGGGGTGCCGTCTGGAGCTGTGGGGACCTGACCAGTGATGGTGGGCCCCACCCTTGGCCACAGGTGGGCGTCTGGGGCTCTGCCCTTTGGTCTCCATCTCAGCGTTGTTCTGGTTTATCTGTAATCTCATGTCATCTAACTCTACAAGTACAGCTTGACCCTTGAACAGTGTGGGGGTTAGGGGTGCTGCTCCCTCCCGTGTGCAGTCATAAATCTGCATACAACATACAACATTTGACTCCCCAAAAACTTAGCCACTTGTAGCCTGCCATTGACCAGAACCTATGACCAGAACGTACGGCGACATAAACAGCTGATGGGCACACATTTCGTGTGTTCCGTGGATTCTATTCTTAGAGTTGGTAAGAGAGGAAAGAGATTTTCTAGATCGTTGCAAACCTCCAAAAACCTGTGTAGGTGGACCCGGGCAGGGCAGCCCCTGCGGTTCCGGGTCTGCCGTGGTGGCAGGAGCGGTGGGCGGCCAGCCTGTCAGAGCTCCGGCTCCCCACCAGCCCCCTCCGGCGCAGCAGATCCGTGGCCCACGAGGCCAGGGATGGCGTGACCCCGACCTGGGGGCACCACCTTGGGGAGGGTGGGCGGGCGGGCAGGCGGCCCCCTGAGGGGAGCTGCCCCCTGATGTGAGCTGCCTAGGCCTGATGCCGGTCTGTTGGGTTGCAGGAAGCTCTTCGTGGGCGGCCTGGACTGGAGCACCACCCAAGGTAGGCACGGGCGCGGCGCTGCCCTGCCCTCAGCTGGGCCTCCCTCCTGCTACCCCTGGGTGGCTCTTTGATTCCTGGCGGGCGTTGTCCTGCTCTCTGGAGAGGAGAGGCAGTTGATTGGGCACTGGCCGGGCACAGAGGACCCATCTTGTTTTAAAACTGCAGCTTTCGTCCTGTTGCGCACCGCACAGCTGGTCAGCTGAGCCGGCTCCGTGGCGATCGGTGGCCCAGCTCAGTGGAGCGGGAAGTTCGGGCCGGGTTGGCACTTCCCTGGGCTCCCTTGGGCACCTGTCCCCGGGTCCCTCCCTGTCCTTCACCCTCCCTAACACCCCCCAGGTGAGTCGACTAGTCAGGTTAGAAGTCTCTGGGTCAGGCTGGTGAAGCAGCACATGTGCGCACACGTCTGCGCGTAACTGGCGTGCATGTTTGTCTTTCTCTCCCAATCCCTGAGCAGAGACTCTCCGCAGCTACTTTTCCCAATATGGAGAAGTTGTGGACTGTGTGATCATGAAAGATAAAACCACCAACCAGTCTCGAGGCTTTGGGTTTGTCAAATTTAAAGACCCAAACTGTGTGGGGACGGTGCTGGCCAGCAGGCCACACACACTGGACGGCCGAAACGTGAGTGTCCTTCCGGAGCCACATCTCCGTACCCGTGTGCAGCAACTCCATCCCCCTCTGTCCCTGACCTGGGGGGGTTCAGCCTGGGGCCAGCCTCTGCCCAGTGGAGCGCATGCGGATCTGGGGTGAGGCTGGGGCAGGAGCTGGCCATGCAGACACCTTTTCTGGGTGTGGCCCTACACTCAGCACTGGCTCATCTGCAATTCCTACAGATCGACCCGAAGCCGTGCACGCCTCGGGGGATGCAGCCAGAGAGGACACGGCCCAAGGAAGGATGGGTAAGAGGCTGGGCAGGCGGCCTCCCTCCCTGCCCCGCAGCCACAGCTTGGGGAAAACCAGTGCCTCTCATCTGCTGACTTTGCCCGCAAAGATCGAGGGCGACAGGAGGTCTAGGTTGATGTTTGAGCGACTAGAACTACTCAGGTGTATCCAGTGCTGTAAGTTTTTTGTCTCACAGCCAAGAGTGTTCTTATAGCCTGCCTTAAAGAAAAGGACAGCTCTTGCTGGCCTGTCGGGAACCTGCCCCTGTGGGCCAGCAGCCAGGGTGCCCTCTGCTCCCGCCACCCATTGCTCTGCACTGCGCCCTCATCATCCTCGGTCTGAGGCTCCACCATCCAGATCTGCTGGGGCTGGTGCAGGGGCGCCCCCTCCCCCCGACTCTGTGCCCACCATGTGTGGCCCTGGTGCTTGCCGGCTGGCAGGCTCCTGGCCGTCACCCACTGCCCACACCCCTTCCCTACCCAGCACTTCTCAGAGAAGGCCGTCACTGGGTGTGCCTGTCCTCGCGGAAAGTCCTCCTGGGCGCAGTGCAGGCTCTCGGCATAGGTCTGATTAGCAGGCTAGGCGGCCTGAGCACCTGTTGGCCCCGCCAGGGCATCACTGTCCCAGCAACCACCTGTCAGCCCAGGTGCAACCCCAGGGCTGCCATGGGCCTCACGCCACAGGCAGGCAGATCCATGCGCAGGCCCTGCTGCACCACAGCCCCTGAGCCGCTCACTCAGAACAGGCACGACCAGAGCCCACACCCTGAGTCCCAGAGCCCCTCGCCCACCTTCCAGTTTGGTCCTCGTTAATCCAGACCAGTTGGGTCAGCTTAACCCATGAGCCCCTTGGGTGGAGAGGATAAGGGGCGTCAGGAGCGGGAGCCGAGATCGGGCCCCCCCACCTCTGCCCCACGTGAGGAGCGTGGCGCTGCCCTAGGCCTCTCAGGAGGAGGAGCAGCCGCTCACCGCCGGCTGGGTTCTCAGGTTCCCTGGGTTTCTGGTTTGGTCTGGCTTCTAGCTGCTCCTAAAACCGCTGCCGGGGCCTCGTCCTGCAGGACCAGGGCGAGCACGGCGGCGGGGGGAGGGGGGTCTAGCATGAACTGACTTCCTTTTCCTTTTTAAAACAGCAGAAAGGACCCAGGAGTGACAACAGTAAATCAAATAAGATATTTGTCGGTGGGATTCCTCACAACTGCGGTGAGACGGAGCTCAGGGAGTACTTCAAGAAATTCGGAGTGGTGAGTTCCCCGGACCTCTGCTCGGTCGCACAGGCGGGTACTGGAGCCACGTCCACAGCAGGTCAGGCCTGCTGGCTTTCTCTAGCCCCTGAGCCGCCCCAAACAAACCGGACCCGTGCCCCGTCCATGCTCTTCATGTCCGTTGGCCACTGGGAGAGGATTTACGGCTTTTCCAGGCAAATCTTAGCCCCACGCCAACGTCCTGGAGGGCCCTTTGGGCTGGCCATGCACAGCATGTGCACACCGCTGGGGGGTGCTGGGGGGTGCAGGGCTCTGCTTGGCCACGGGAGCCGGCCTGCTGTGCCTGGGTTCTAGACACGGTCCATCTGGATCCTTGGGTCAAATCCTCCCCCAGGACCAGCAGTGGCAGCTGTGGCTGCATCCGAGGGTAGGCCTGGGCCAGGGCGGGAGGGGAGGGGCGGGGGTTCTGTCCCAGGGTGCCCCACTGTCTTGGGGAGCACCGGTGCCTGGCTGGGCATCTCGTGAGATTTCCTCTGACGGCGGATCTGCTTCCAGGCCGGGTTTGTCTTCTGGATAAGACTAAAGTCCCTTATAGGTGTAGGGTGTTTAGAGTTCCCTGGGGTCACACACAGCTCTGCTCTCATGGGGCAGGCAGAGTGTGGGCTATGGCATGAGCAGGGCATCCTGTCACACTCTGGGCATGTCACCCTGGGCTGCTGCAGGTCACGGGCCCTGTTGGCTGGGCGGACAAGGGGCAGGGAGGCTGCTGACCGAGGCAGGCTGGCATGGGCGTCTGAGCACTGAGTCTGGCCCGTTCCGTCCCGGCACCTGCCCTGGCCCTCGTGTGGGCCCTGTGGGGCACGGCCTCCCAGCTTTCCACTGACATGCAGGCCAGGCCGGGCATGCCCTCCTTGGCCTGCTCCCAGCCTGGGAATCCCTGACCTCTGACCCCACAAGGCCTCCGTTTGCCGCGGGACTTGCAGCAGGCAGTGTGCTTGTGACTGCCCGTGACACCCAGGTGCCGGAACGCCGTCTCTCTTCCAGGTCACAGAAGTGGTCATGATCTACGATGCGGAGAAGCAGAGGCCTCGAGGTAAAAGAGATGGATTTGTCCTTGACCTTCCCCTCAGATGGCAAACTATTTCACAATTAGGTGGTGGTTGTAGTGAGCATTGCCTCAGAATAGGACCATTTGGAGGCCCCCGATCAAAATGTAGGCTCCGAGCATCCGCTGCCATGCCAACCAAGGTCAGATGCCGCTGTCTTTTTTTTGGCTCATTCTTTTGAAGTTTTTACAACCTGACATGAATTTCAACCCAGTTTCTGTTTTTACATGTGTACTGACAGATCTGCCTTCTTTTAAATCGTGACCTCCCCTCACGATGCTCCTGTTTTCAGTCCCCCAGTCAGGGCATTGCAGTGTCGGGCATGGTCTGCCTATGCCAGCTCGGACGCGGGCTCCCTGTTTCCATCCCAGGGTTTCTTGTTTTTCTTGTTTCTTCTCCCGAGTCGGGGGGGACCAGGCCAGGGAGGCCCTCTCAGCCCATGTCTGCCTGGTCCCCGGGCCACCCACGCCACGCCCAAATTGGTGTGGGGGCAGGGGCCGCGGGCGCCTAGTTCCCATGCCCCTTTCTGTGGCTGCTGCTGCCCGCTCCCGCCTACACATTTTGGTTCAGCGACGGCTTTTGGCCCAGCTGCGAGCCGACCTGCCACCCTGGGCTCTGCAGCCACAGCCCAGGCCGGGCGGGGCCCCCAGCGCACTGGGCCGCGCTGCCCACAGCATGCGCCCGCCGTGCTGGAGAATAGTTTGCCATTTGAGCCTCATCTTCCCCCTTGCTCCATGATTGGTTAAGTGACGTCTCCTCACTTCATGTCGATTAGGCCGTTAAGTCTGAGTCTTATCTTAACGTAGACATATGCGCTTAGTGACATAATTAAGTGTTCACAGTACAGTAACGCTAAGTAAGTTGTTTTCTTTCTCTCTGTGAATTGTTTGTGATTAACGATATCTCTTTAGATTTCTTTTCTCCAGGTGCTAAATTATATCACACAGGTACAGGCCAGTCCCGCAGCCAGAGGAGGGGACGGGCTTTGCTCCAGTGGGGTGTAAACGAAGTTTCAGTGTGTTTCTGTCCACTTCCTCAGTGGTGATGTCGCCTCTTGAGAGACAGACGCATCCCTAGATGTCTGCCCCTGGGCTCCTTCCCCTCGACTCTCCGCCTCTCGCGCTATAACGGGCCACTCAGCCCTGTGGTTCCAGACTCTCCTGCACTTTGAGAGAATGTTGACTTCTAACTTGCTGTCATCACCCAGGCTGTGTTCCACCATTGGCCTCAGGACCCGGGACTCCTGAGGGCGGCTCTTAGCTCCCTTGGTCAGCCCGAGGCAGGATGCGCGCTTGGGGCCGGGCCGTGGGCCGGCCTGCCCGTGGGCTTGGGTCCCCTGAGTCACCCAGCCCTCGAGCTAGGCAGGCGGGGTGGGACTGGCGCTAGGAGCAGCAGGTAGCGGGTCAGCGGGGCTTCTGGGGGCTTCTGGGAGAGCTCACGCCCACTTTCTCAACCTTCTTCCTCCCCCACCCGCCCAGCCCTGTCCGTGCTGCGTCTCAGACTGTCCCTGTCCTCCCCAGTGCCTGTCCCAGGGCTCCGCACGTGTCTGGCTGCTGGGCAGTGAGCCCTGACCTCCAGCCCCCTCGCCCCACAGCCCTGCTCCAGCTTTTGCCTTCCCTGTGCCTTTAGTTCTGCAGCTGCAATTCCATTCTCGCCGTGCGCGCGTTCTCTGTGCATGCGTGTGCATGATCAGGCCTCAGGCACACGCATGTGCACAGAGAACATGTCCAAGGACCCCAGGTGGCCTTTCCTGCCAGTGTCAGTGCACCTGTCCAAGGTGCCTCCCCCACTACCCCTCCCATGGCGGTTCTGCTGACGTTCTTGCCCGTAGTCCTGGCGACTGCAGCCAGCGTGAGAGCCCCTGGGTGGCTCTCCTCCCACGGGGCCCTCCCTGCATGGCCTGCCCCGCCCTGCGGCTGCCCCAGACTGTCCCCTGCCCCTGGCTCCTACATCCCCCACGCCCCTTGAGCCATCTTGACCCTCAGCCCAGCCCCCCTGCCCACCTTGTGTTCTGTGGAGTCTCCGGGCAGCTGACTGCCACACGCTTCCTCTGGGCATAGAGCGGGTGGGCCCCTGGAGCTAGTGCAGCGGACATGGCCCGAAACACCTGTTAGCAGGCGGGCACGCTCACGCAGACCAACCAAACTTCGTTTATACTGCCACTTGCTTGTTTGGGAGATGCTAAATTTTCCCCTTAAATTCTCTTTGATGACATGGCACCTCTCTCTCTGCTGCCGACAGCAGTTTGACCTGCTGGAACCCGCTGTGGCCTGTATCTTTGTGTATTTTACTCACGTAGATACGTACAGATAGATACCTGTATGCACATGAATGTTACCTTGATGGGACTCCTTGGGCTTACCCAACGTGTTGGGTAAGCTTAGCGAGGCACTAACTGTGGTAGAGACGTACTGGTTAACGCGCTAGAACGATGTATGGCTGCTGTCAGCACTAGTGCAAAGCAGATGAAGCCAAGGGGGAGAATCCTGGGTTCCAGATAAGCAGACACGCACCCACACAGCCGACTGAGGCACCCTCACCCGCCCTGCCCCGGGGCCTGCCCCGGGCTGGCCCTCGCTTCCCGAGCTGCAGCGCTGGCTGTCCCAGGCCGCCTGCACCCGGAGCGCTCCCTGCTGGGGGCTCCCCACGGCCACTCACACGGGCTTCTCTGGAACCCAGGGTCGATCCCTCGGCCTGTCCCTAATACTGTTCATCATCCTGTTTTGTGTCACAACACCCTGCTACCTGATTCACTCTTCGTCGTTGGCTAGGTTTTGGATTTATTACTTTCGAGGACGAACAATCAGTGGACCAGGCTGTCAACATGCATTTTCACGACATCATGGGCAAAAAAGTGTGTAGTTGTAGTTTTATTTTACCTTAAGACCAAACCAAGTCTTAGGCAACTTCAGGATTTCACTGGAAACAAAAAATCTCTAGCAGGAAAAAGGCCGGGTGAGCCGCCCTGGGACCCTCTGCTGTGGGCAGACCTGGTTCTGCGGAAGCGAGGCCCGTCCTGCCGAGCGGCTCTGTACGCGGCTCCTGGCTGTGCCCTCGGCCCTGGGCCCTGCGCTGGAGGGAGGGCGGCCAGGCGGGTGGGGCGGCAGCGGTGGGTGGCCTGCTGGGCGGCCTCCAGTGAAACCGCAGGTTGCCTCAGGCTCGGTTCCAGTGGCCACTCCTTCAGATGTCTGTCCGCATTCCGATTGTCTCCTGCCGCTCCCTAACGCGATGGCAGCGACCCTAGTGAGCCTTTGACAACAGTTCCTTGTAAAACCGAACGAGACGTAAACATCCTGAAGGATTGGTTTTTTGATTGGGTCACTTACTGTCACCCGGCCCCAGCCACATGCTCTCGGTAGTACTTAACCCCATGCAGTCCAGTGACCTCCGGTCCATCTTCATACTGTGTTGCCTCGGAGGGGGCCTGGTCAGCACACGGCCAGCGCGTTGGCAGGATTCCTGTCCGGTCCTCACTGCCCGCTCCCCGCCTGCTGGCCGCTCCCTGGAAGCCGGTAAACGCTGCAGCGTGCGTGGCTGTTCTCTATATGCAGGTGGCTGAGGTTTTGTGGCAGCTTAATTAACTCCCCTCGAACCTGACTAAACAGGACGCAAGTCTCCCTCTGACATTCGTTGAATCTCTTAGTTTAAAATTAGCATGCGGATTCAAGGATGCATGCCAGTTAAGAGCACAAGTTCATGGGAGTCCACCACCTTCAGTGTTTTAAGGTACTGTGACGTTTAAAATTTGGAAGAGGCGTGGTCCTGCTTTGGGGGCAAACAGGTGTGCTGATCGCACCATGTGCCCCCGTCCCCGGGCAGCCCCTGGTTTTGCAGGACAAGGAGAAGACCGAGGGGCCAGACCCCAGCCCCACCCCTGACCTTCGCTGGCCAGACACGGCATCCCCACCGCCCTTCAGTGAGCGCTTCCACCGTAGAGGGCTTGGGTCCCACTCGTAATTAGAGCCGAGTGCCAGGGACTGCACCCCTGTTCCAACAGGAGGGACATTCGTCTCAAATCCCAAGGCCTGCTCTGCTCTATGAGCAGAGACCCAGGCCCCTGAAGGAGAGCCGCACACATCCATCGGTGTGAGTCCTCAGCGATGCCCCCTCCGTCCTGCTCTCACCGTGCCCTGTACGATGGGGACTCTGCCCCTCCACCAGGCTCTGGGAGGCCAGGGCCTCAGCCCTCGTTTCCTGCTCCTCCCCTACCAGAAAGGGCCTCAAGGCAGATTCTGAAACCAAGGCTTAGCTCACCAGACTGAGACCCCAGATGACTCCAAGTCTCTTCTCGTTAAAATCTATCATTAAAAACGAGAAAAATTCAGGATTCCCAAATGCCGAGGCAGCCCTAGAATTTGGGGCCTTGCTGCTGTCGGTCTGCCTGCGTTTGACAGGCTGTGTGGGGGAGGGAGCTTTGCGGCAGCCCCCGCGTAGAAGCAGGGCACGCCCGCTGGTCCCCACCGCCCCAGCCCCGCGTTCAAAGAGGAGGGGTCCTGGGCTGCTGACCTAACACAGTATGAAGATTGCTTACTGATTCAAATGTCCATTTTATTGCATGTTCGTTTACTTTTTTGTTAGATGTAATTGTAAGATTCTCTTTACCCATCCATTCCCTCCGACATTTTGAGTTAATTGAGATTCTTTAAGCATTAGCCTGGGGAAGGTAAGTCTTTATTTTCCATTAGACATTTAAAATGAACCTAAGTAAACCAACTGTTTCTCAGGTATGAGCTGAAAGCGCAGGCGGGGCGGGCTCGGAGGGTCCTCGTGTCCGTTGGCTTGGCCGCTCCCAGTGGAGGCCCCCCCCACGGCACCCGCGAGGGCGGCTGTGCAGGCGTGGTGGTGTCTGTCCCTGGGCCTACAGGCCGTGGGCGGCGGGCGCTGCCATTCTGCCTTAACTGAGGGATCCCGTGTCACCTGAAAGCGAGGGCCCTCGGCTCTTGCCCCCTGCCCTGCAGCAGATGGGGCGCGGCGTGTCTTATGGTTGCATCTGTTGTACCTGAGAAACACTTTAAGTAAAAAATTAAACAACCAGAAAAGTACTTTTTAAGAGAAAAAGCTACTGCTACTGGCCTAAATAAGGATTTATAGTTAAGTACTTAGTTTTAAGTTGTAATAAGATGCTAAGTGTAGTCATAAGTAATTGAGGGTGTGTCTGAGGGCAGGGGGTCCAGGACCCTCGGCGCCTCCCTAAACCAGAACTCCGTTTGTCCAGGTGGAAGTTAAACGGGCTGAACCTCGGGACAGCAAAAGCCAAGCACCAGGACAGCCAGGTGCCAGCCAGTGGGGCAGCCGGGTCGTGCCCAGTGCTGCCAATGGCTGGGCAGGCCAGCCCCCTCCCACCTGGCAGCAGGGTTACGGCCCGCAAGGTGAGGCACGCCGGGCAGGCTTGGGATGGGTGAGGTTCCCAGCCGGAGGGGTGGCAGCTTCCTGCAACCACAGGCACCCATCCCTCTGACTTGGGGCTGCGGTGGGCCCTGCCGGAGTAGGTGAAGGTGGGTGGGGGAGCATCCCATCCCAGGCATTGGCCGGCAGGTTGGTGTGGGCCGCACTACAGGAGCCGCGCTCAGCAGGGGAGGGGTCGCAGCAAGGCCATGCCCATGCACTGGGGTCCTAGTCGCCTTGAGGCCTGTGTGATCCTGGGCCGTGTGCTCGGGCCAGACCGAGGTCCCCACATGTGGTTTGGGCAGTCAGGCTTCACTGTGGCCAGCAGAGCTGTGAGCGTCTGCCCCAGTGCAGGGCTTCGCAGAGGGGCTGCGTGGTCACCACAGTTCTCCGGCTGTCCCTGTGGCCTCTGCCTCTGGGGCGTGATGGGGGGTGTTTGGAACTCGTGGCAGACAGCCTGCAGCGGGAGAGGGGGTGGGCTTGGCCTGCCGGGACCCCAGTGAGGTGCTGGGGAGGCCCGGGTCCCTCCTGCCCCAGGCCCTGTGCTCTGCTCCAGCTCCCCAGCTGCGGCCGGCAGGCCTGGGTCTCCCATGTGGGAGGGAGTGGGGGTCAGGGACAGTTGGTGTGGGGAGGCCAACACCGATGCCAGACTTGAGGGGCCGCAGGGTGGCTGTGCCCCGGTCTGCGCCATGGAGTGGCACAGCGCCGACCCCTTCTTTGTCTTCCTGTATAGGAATGTGGGTGCCAGCAGGACAGGCAATTGGTAAGTCCTTGTTTGTGGGGGGACAGGGGGAGGGGGGCAGGGGTCACCCTCCTCACCGCACCTGTTCCAGGAGGCTACGGACCACCCCCTGCGGGAAGAGGAGCTCCCCCGCCGCCCCCACCGTTCGCCTCCTACATCGTGTCCACGCCTCCTGGAGGGTTCCCGCCGCCGCAGGGCTTCCCCCAGGGCTACGGCGCCCCTCCACAATTCAGTAAGTCTGTCACAGCCCCCTCGTCACACAGTGTCCCTGCCTGCCAGGCGCCCTCAGCATGGAGCTGTGAGGTGCGCCAGGGCCCATGCACTCGCTGAGAGCGGTGCCCCCAGTGGCAGGCCCGGCACCCTGCCCCCGCCCCTCCAGCAGCAGTAGAGAAGCTGGCGCCAGAGCTGGCGGGGCGTCAGCACCAGGTATGTCCCGTCCCCTTTCCTGCCGAGCCCTTGGACCTGGGTGTGGGTTCCTCTCGGGCAGGCCATGGTCTGGACCACATCTTACTGAATTGTAAGGACACCAGAGGTGGATAGAAACAGTGTCTCGGTCCAAGGTCCGGGCAAGGGGGGGGCATTAGCCCGGCCTTGCAGGGTGGCTCTGGGACTCCTGTCCCCCAGAGCAGTGGGGCTGGGCTGCGGCCGGCTCCTGTCCTCGTCGGGTCCCACAGTTGTCTGCACTCGGTGTCTGGCACTCACTGGCACTGTGGGCAGCTCCTTGCCTGCGCCGCCCCTGCGGTCCCCCTGGCTGCCCGGGGTCTCAGGTGCGTGTGGGCCGGGGGCAGGCGCTGTGTCTGTGTTCTCTCCTGTTTGTTTGCAGGTTTTGGCTATGGGCCTCCGCCTCCCCCACCGGATCAGTTTGCTCCTCCGGGGGTCCCTCCTCCACCGGCCACTCCAGGGGCTGCACCTCTGGCCTTCCCCCCGCCTCCGTCTCAGGCCGCCCCAGACATGAGCAAAGCCCCGACTGCCCAGCCAGACTTCCCCTATAGCCAGTATGGTGGGTGCCCCCTGCCCTGCCCTGCCCTGCCCTCTGGGGTCTGCCTCCCTCGCGGGTGGATTCCTGGGTGGGCTGTCAGGGGAGGGCACATGACCTGGGGCCTAACAGCGTGGAGCGGTATTCTTGTCTTTTGCTAGGGTGGTGGTCGCAGAAAAGTGTGGACTGGGCACTGGGGGTCCCAGGGCCTCTGGGTCTGGGACTCTGAGGCTATGTGCGCACCAGCAGGCCCGCCCCTCACTTGTCTGGGTTTTCTGAGTGCGGGGCAGGCTCTCTGGGCGCACGGCCCTGCAGCCCTGGTCTGGAGCAGCTGCTGGTGGGGGCCTTGGTGTTGTTCTTCACTGGAGGGGCCTGGTTGTGGAGGCAGGGCCTCCGAGCTCTGGCCTGCAGGAAGGTGGTTTGCAGCCGGATGGGCGGGGCTCGTGGGAGGCCCGGGGCGCCCGGGGAGCAGCCTGTGCCCAGGGGTCAGGACTTCTGGGGCCTGCCCCACCTGGGGCTCTGACTGTGTCAACTAAGAGTGCAGTGTCTCCAAGTAGAAACCGCTCTTGCCTGCAAATGCCACCGTTGGCGGCTGACACGATGCCTGCACGGGGACACCGTGCCCTTTCCTCCCCCTCAGGGCTTCGGGGGCCCCAGGCAGAGTCATGGGTCCCACACCCCATCCGGAGCAGGCCGTGAGCTGGCCCAGTGGGGTGAGCACGCCCCCCGCCACAGGCCTCTGCCAGGGCTGCCCTGGGTTGTCATCTGGCCTCGTCTCTCCAGGCCTGGGTATCTGTTCTTGAGACTTGCCCAGCTTTGGGCTCACACTGCTTACACCCTCACAGTCAGGTTGTGTAGTGATGTAGCCTAGGTAGGTGGCACCCTCTCCACCCTGCCTGCACCTGGGCATCGGGCATCACTGCCTCTGCCATTCCAGCAGGGGTGGGCCTGACTGTGCCCTCTGGGATGGGGCCCTGCCTTTGTGCGCCACCCCCCCCTTTCCCCCGCTCCTCCCAGGAACCTGGGGCCAGGGGCTGGCCTTCCATGTGTGGCTCCCCTTGCAGAAGGGCCTCTGCCTGCGAGGTGAGTGGGGCAGGCTGTGCACGTCATTGAAGCCCAGGGTCAGTGCCGGTTGGTTGTAATAAGCCCCAGTTCTGTGCTGGGGCCAGTGGGGCGTCTGCAGGGAGCCCAGGGCCGGCCGGTGTTTCCTCAGGTACTGAAAGCCATGCCTACATTCCTAGCAGCCAGCATCCTCGAGGCGGGCAGTCCATCCGTCTCCAAGCTGTGAGGCCACCGGGGGCGCAGAGTTGCACTGGGCCCTGAGCCCCAGCCTTTGGGAATGAGTGGGGAACAGGCAGAGGGGACAGGACGGACTGGGAGGTCTCAGGGCTGCTTCTCTTCCATGTGGTAGCTGCCATGGGGTCAGCCTGGCCCAGGCCAAGCTTGCCGACCAGCCACCCCTACGCCTCCGCCCGCCCTGCCTCATTGGAAGTAGGGCCCCCTGCTGCCCAGCTCACTGGACTCTCCCCTGGCAGGTTACGGACAGGACTTGGCCGGCTTCGGACAGAGCTTCTCAGACCCCAGCCAGCAGCCCCCCTCCTACGGGGGTCCTGCAGTTCCAGGTTCGGGCGGGCCCCCCGCCGGTGGAAGTGGCTTTGGACGAGGTCAGAACCACAACGTGCAAGGATTCCACCCCTACCGACGCTAGCCAGCTGGCGCCCGTGCACGGCAGGTCACCGAGACCCAGAATTCGAGACTTGTGAACTCGTGACAATCACAGACTTGGCGGGAAAAGAGCAACTCCACCTCGGGGGGTGGGTGAGAGGCTTTTGGAAGCGGCTGTGGGTGTCTGGACTGAAGTTTTTAAATATATTTCTTTCTCTAACCCATCAGCACAATAAAAAGAAGTCACTGGTTCAACAACAGGGTTAAAAACATCTTTCAGCTTTAATTCAGAACTTCAGGTTTCTTTTTCTTCCTTTTTTTGAAATTTTTTTCCTGAGCCTTTTGTTTTACCGTATGTTGTAAACTTTTATGTTAAAGAAAAAAATATACATTTACAAATTGTGAGATTTTTAAGAGAAATTTTCTACGATGTATGCTGGCTTATTTTTTAATTTAAAATAGGGTTTCGGTCGGCACTGGTGGGAACGAGGTGCTTCTCTCCCCTCGCTCTTGGCTTTGAGGGTTGGGACTCGGTCCAGAAACTCTGGGAGCTTAAGAATCTACTGAGTGTGTTTTGTTTTTTGTTTATTACTTGGTTTTGTCGACTGACTTGCCTGGCGGGATCTGCGGGTGCACCGAGGGGGCTGTGCCCAGCCGGCCTCGCGGCGTCCACCCCGCGTCTGGGCCTGCGTCCAGGACAAAGAGGCCTTGTCAGCCACCCTCCGTGCTCGGGGCTCCTGGGCGCCCACTGACCAGTTTGACCCTGGTTTGAATAAAGAGAAGTGCATTTGGATTAGACAGTGGGTTGTGTCCGTTTGTTCCCGCCCTGCCCTGGCCTCGCCCCCCTCCACGCCCGGAGCCGCCCGCCCGCCGAGTGGGGTCCCTCGGGTCAGCACAGCCGGTGTCAGGCTGTGGGTGGGGGCCACGGCCCCTGCGTCGGGGCTCTGCAGTTTGAAGGCCACTTGCAGGCTGCCGTGGAGAAGGCGTCTGTGCAGACGCGGGCAGGGATCGGCCGGGAGGGACATGTGGGCCGTGGCTTCCCTTCCCACAAACGGCTGTTGGCAGTGTGGCCATGGGGCCCCTAGCTGTCAATGCAGCGCCACATGGCGGCCAGTGCTGCAGCCAGGGGCTGCCGCTGGGACCTGCTTCATCCCGCAGATGAGCTAGTGCGGGCAGGGGAGGGAGGCACTGGGGCCGGGGAGCTCCGGCTGCCCTCTGGCCTGTCTTGTGCCTGTGGTGAGATGCCAAGTCCTTCGAGCCGCCAACAGTGTGGTCTTGAACCGCATGACGCCTGTCCGCTCCCCGGGTGGAAGGGGCTGTGACAGGCCATGAAGCCCCGCCCCTACATGCAGCCCTCAGGAAGGGAGCTTCTGGGGCCCAGGCTGTGAACGGGGGTGAATCCGCCCTTCCTAGTGTGTGTGGTCTCCACGGGCCGCTGTGACAAATCACTGAAACTTGATGACTTAAAATGACACACGTTTACTCTCTCAGGTTCCAGGGGCGGGGATCCACACAGGCCTCGTTCCCCTAAATCCCGGCGGGCAGGGCCGGCCCCTCCGGGGACCCTGGGAGAACCGTGTCCCCCTCTTCCAGCTTCTGGAAGTGCCGTGGCCTCGGCTCGGGGCCCCCTCCTCTGTCTGCACCGCCGGCAGGGCCATACCTTTCTGTCTCGCTGACCCTGACCTGTCCCCTCTCATGGGGACCTTTGTGAGGACCCTGGGCCCCGGGACCCCAGGGCCACCCCCATCTCAGAGGCCTTGATCTAACCCCCTCTGTGAGTCCCTCTGCCACGTGAGGGGACAGCCTCAGGTCCCTGACCAGGATGCGGAAGCCTCCGGGGGCTGCTGTTCTGTGGTCCTAAAGACCACATTCAATATTTTAAAATGTAAAAAAGAACTGAGGGAAGCCATGAATTTGTAGGCATCTTTGAGCTTGTGGAGTAGATGTGAGCAACCCACACCTCCCAAATTGGAAAAAATTATGGACAAGAGGTTATCACTGAAATTAAATGCAGCAGACACGTCCAAGGAATATGGAAGGGATCTGATCCCTTTATGAATCTTGGGGTGGATGAATGTGTGGAGATGGATGATGCTGGAAGGGTGGTAATGCCAGGAAATAGCGCCATGTTAGAAGCCTCGGAATGGGGGCAAACTGCTGAGTCTGGAAAAATCGGCTGCTTCACAAATGTCCCCAATCCACGGCACATTTTCACTGCAGTGTGAAAATCAGGGGGTGCTTGTTTTTATATTGAGCTTTCTAAAACTTTTATAAGAGTCCTCCCAAAAAATGTAGAAATAACTGATGTGTCCAAAATGTCCCGATGCCTCCAGTGAGCCAGGCTTGAGGGGAAAGTGGCGACCCCACAGCCAGACAGCCCCACACCCCACCCCACCCCACCCCAAGAGGGCACCGCTGTTCACCCTGGCCCTCCACCCAGCTCTGCAGGGCTGCTGCTGTTTGCGGAAGGGGTAGGAGCAGGCGAGCGGACCTCACACTGCACCCTCCCGTGCATACCACGGGTCAGCACAGTGTTAATGTCAGCTCCTTTCCTTAGCGAAGCCAGTTCTGGGCAAAATGAAGGTCCCCTGGCAAAAGGGCATTGTGACAGCAGCCAGGAGCGCACAGGACCCCGCCGGCTCCCTGGACCTGGGCAATCCCGAGTCACACCCTGAAGGATGCATCTTGCGGTTCCAAACAGGGTGACCGTACTCAGGTGGTGGCAGGGAGGGGCGTCCAGTCCTTTGGCGTTTACTGGCTGTCTCCTGGGATGGTGGAAAAGGCTGAGAAGGGCTCTGTTGTCTCCAGGCCAGCCGAGAGGCTGGGAGTGGCCAGTTGCTGCCTGCCCTGTGGGAAACTGAGGCACATTGGAGTCCCATGGCCTGAGCACCTGGGCTTCTGTTCTCAAAGCTTCCAGCTCTTCCTGCCTCAGGACCTTTGCATGTCTGCTCCCTCTTCCAGAAACCACCTTTCAGCAAGGCTGCTTGCCTCCTCAATCCACGAATGGTTGGTTCATGTGCTGGCGGATAGGTTTTCCTGTTCCATTTCTCTTTGTTCTTCTGTTTGGTTCTTTTATGCCTCTGTTAAGCCTTACTTTTTTGCATGAAATGAGAGTTTTTTCGAGCATAGCATTTTAATTCTTTTAATGACTTTTTTCATCCTATTTTTGAATGATTTTCTTAGAGCTTGCTCTAAGAAGCTGTATTCATCTGTTTGGTTGTTTTTACTCTGGCAAAATATACATAATATTTGCCATTTTTCACCATCTTATAAACATACGATTCAGTGTATTCAGCACATTCACATTGTCCTGCAGCCACCCTCCATCTCTAGAACTTTCCATCTTTCCAAACTGAAGCTCTGTCCCCATGAAACACTCCCCATCCCCTCCCTCAGCCCCCAGCCCCACTATTCACTTTCTGTCTCTGTGGATGGGGCTCCTCTGGGGACCTCCTGGGAGTGGGGTCAGACAGGGTCTGCCCTTTGGGTCTGGATCATTTTCCCGAGCACCGTGTCCTCAGGTCCACCCACACTGTGCAGGCATCAGGGTGTCCTTCCTTGTTAAGGCAGGGTAACATTCAAGCACGTGGATGGACCCCGCTGGTTGTATCGGTTCATCCATTGATGGACACCCGGGTTGTTTCCACCTTTTGGCCACAGCTGCGGTGCACAAGGTGTGCAAGTCTGTTTGAGGCTGGTTCACTTCCTGCGGTCCACACCCAGGAGCGGGGCTGCTGGGAGCACGCGGGTACCGCGCACATCGTAAGTACAGAATCACCTTCCTAAGGACACGACCGTCCCTCCGGTGAACGTAGAAGAGAACTCCTATGTAGCTCTAGTCCTTCTCCCCTCTTGAGCCATTGTTATCATACATGTTACATCTGTGTGTGTTACGAACCCTTTCTATGAGTTTATCTATTGAAGACCTGCTGGTCCTTATCAGGGATGCCTTTCTGACCATCTGTGCAAAGCCAGTGTCCCACCCCTCCTGGCTTTTCCTCTTGGCTCTGATCGCTGTGAGACCTTGTTTCTTATGCGTCCCGTCCCCCACTGGAACGCAGGCTCCCTCTTGGAGTACTGGGCCGAAGTGTCAGGGGGGCTACCACTGTAATCAGTAGGTGCTCCATGAATGTTTATTAAGTGGGTTTCAGAATGGCTGTTACAGAGCACGAATATGAGGCTCCACAAGGGGCAGGGACGTCCCCCAGTTGAGAACGGGGCTCCCAAACACTAGGCGGCCAGCCCCCCGCCCAACGGAACTATGCCCCAGGAAAGGCCTCGGCCCCTTTGGGCCACGCCGCCTGCGCTTTGCCCTCCGAACAGCAGAGGCGCCCTCCGCGGGGGCAAGCGAGGGAGCGTGTGAGAGGCGGGGCAAGCGGGCGGCCCTGCGATAACTGCGCAGGCGCAGAGGGGCGGTCCTTCCCGAAGAACCGACAAGATGGTGAGTCCCTCGCTTCCGTCCGCTGGTGCCGGAGCCATCCGGCGCCATCAGCGCGCTGGCCGCACAGTGGGGGTCGGGGACAGGCCGCACACGGCTGTGGCAGCCTCCAGGCCTCGGGAACCGCGGGATACGGGGACGCGGGGCGGGCCTGGCGGGTGTCGGGACGACCCGAGGCGGGGAAGGCCTCTGCGGGCAGGCATGTCCTCGCCGAGACCCCCGGAGGCGCGCGTGCCTCCCCGGGACTGGCCCGAGGCGGTGTGTCTCCGCGGGGTGCCGTAGCTGGGAGCCCTGCGCCCGATGAGCGCGCCGCCGCGGGGGTGGGAGGCGGTCCCGAGCTCCCGCTCACCCGCCCGTCCCCGCGCAGGCGGAAGTGGAACAGAAAAAGAAGCGCACCTTCCGCAAGTTCACCTACCGCGGCGTGGACCTGGACCAGCTGCTGGACATGTCCTAGTAAGGGGCGGCCTGGGCGGTGGCCCGGGGCGGGGGCTGCGGGCCGGGTCAGCCGCCGGAGTAGAGATGCCACGTGTCCCCTGGATATTTTCCCGTTTCTGTAAAAAAGGTGAAGACCTACGTTTAGCTCCAGGCCCTTCCCCAAACGGGCAGCGGGCCGGGAGTGGGCTCGTGGGCGGGAGTTTGGCGACCCCTGCTCTAAGATGTGCTCGGCGGTGGAAGCCGCAGGGCAGGGCGGTAGTGGTCAGACTTGTGCACTTTAACATCCCGCTCCCGGCGCAAGGTGGGTGTGGGGGGCCAGGGCCCCTGATGGAGAGGGAGGCCTGCCGACAGCCGGGGACACTGCCCTCACCCTGGTCTCCCGAGGCTGTGGCGGGGCCGGCTGCCTCGGGACGCGGGACTGCAGGCTCCCAATTGGCCCGGGGCTTCTCCTGGGTCCTTGAGGCCTTGGAATTAGGAGTTGTCCACGGGGTGCCAGCTGCTTGGCCATCGCACCTGAGCCACTTGCCCTTCCGCCTCGGTGTCCCTGTCTCTAGACGGCGATGGGGAGGTTCTGAATCAGCGGGCTTCACCCCGAGTATTAGGCACGGGTTACCTGGCCCGGCCCAGCGTTGCATTGGGTTGGGGGCGGGGGGCGTTGCAGGGACTGGAGACGTCGGGGGTGGGGGCTCTGCCGGTGTCCCGGGCCACCCATGCTGTGCCCGGCGTTCCTCAGCGAGCAGCTCATGCAGCTGTACAGCGCGCGGCAGCGGCGCCGGCTGAACCGGGGCCTGCGGCGGAAGCAGCATTCGCTTCTGAAGCGCCTGCGCAAGGCCAAGAAGGAGGCGCCGCCCATGGAGAAGCCCGAGGTGGTGAAGACGCACCTGCGGGACATGATCATCCTGCCGGAGATGGTGGGCAGCATGGTGGGCGTCTACAACGGCAAGACCTTCAACCAGGTGGAGATCAAGGTGCGTTGGGGGGGTCCCCGGGGCTGGGGGGCCGGGCCTGCCCACGCTCACCACCTAACGCCGGCCCCGCCCCACCTCCGCAGCCGGAGATGATCGGCCACTACCTGGGCGAGTTCTCCATCACCTACAAGCCTGTGAAGCACGGCCGGCCTGGCATCGGGGCCACCCACTCCTCGCGCTTCATCCCCCTCAAGTAGCCCCTTGGCCAATAAAGGCACAGACGTACCTCGCCCCGAGTCTGACCGGCACTTCCAAATGCGCGGGGTTCCTGGCGGGATCCCCTCAACACCCAGAGAAGGGCGCTGGCCCGGCTACAAGGCTGGAGGCACGGTGGGCCGAGGGCGGTGCTGGCCAGCACGTGTCCAGGGGTTTCCGCTGTGGACGGGCCAAGGACTGGGTGGAGTGAGTGCCCCCCACTCCCCTCCTGTGCTCTGCAGTCAGCGGTGGGTGGTCCTCATGCTCGAACCTCCACAGCCCTGAGCCTCCCCCGCCGCCTCCGCACACCTGCCCAGGGCCCTCGGGGCTCTGTGCCCTCATCACGCCTGTGTCTGCTGCTCTTTCTGGGGCCTCTGTTCCCACCAGCTTCCAGAGCCTCCTGTGGTGACCGCAGGTTCCCTGCCCTGGGTTTAGCCTGCCCTGGTCTCGCGCCCATAGGTGGGGTCACACCACCCCCATAGGGCTTGGTGCAGAAGGGTCTCAGTTCAGACATGGGATTCAGACATGGGAACTGGTGGCCGGCGCCTCTGTGGGTGGGCTGGGTGTGTCCAGGCAGTGGTGAGGCCTGGCAGGCCCCCGCAGCTCACACACAGCCGTGGTATATGGGAGAGGGTGGAGGCGGCACGCTGGTTCTGCCTGAGCAGATGGAAGGTGGTTGGAGTCGCTGTCCGTTGATGTGGGGGCCTGGCCAGTGAGGAGTAGGGATGTGGGCGGCAGTCCCGGTGCTTTACATGTACGAGCACGTCGCAGTTCACCGCTGAGCCCCACTGGGCTTCAAGCAGAGCAGCGGGAAGCCCCGTGGTGGGGGGTCGGGTGAGAGCCACAGCAGCTCCTGTCTGCAGTTAGCTCTCGCGTCAGCATTGCTGGCCGCAGGTCTGGCCTGTAGGACTCGTGGGGGCAGCCGCAGCGTTCATTCTGGTCTTTGGTTCATTTCTGGAATTGCTGTAATTTACGGTTGAATTGCCAAAACAGGAAAAAGAATCAAGGGTGCCCGTGCAGATAGCCCCTTTGTGGAACAGGGTCTTTGACCCTGAGTACGGAAAGCCATAGGGCAAGCCCCCAGGCCCACCAGGCAAGAGCCGGATGTTCCTGCCCCACCCCTGTGCCGACCGGGTGGGCAGACCACAGCCCTCCAATGTCCTGCAGCTGGGGTTTTTTTTTTTTTCGTATCATTAATCTACAATTACATGAGGAACATGTTTACTAGGCTCCCCCCATCAACCCCCCCCCTACCGACAAACCCCATTACGGTCTCTGTCCATTCGCATAGTAAGATGCTGTAGAATCACTACTCATCTTTGTGTTGCATAGCCCTCCCCGTGCCCCCCCACATTATACATGCTAATCGATGTCCCCTTTCTCCCACCCCGTAGCCCTCCCTCCCTACCCATCCTCCCCAGTCCCTTTCCCTTTGGTAACAGTCCATTCTTGGGTTCTGTGATTCTGCTGCTGTTTTTTTGTTCGTTCAGTTTTTTCTGTTCTTAAACTCCACATATGAGTGAAATCATTTGGTACTTGTCTTTTTCTCTGCCTGGCTTATTTCACTGAGCATAATACCCTCTAGCTCCATCCATGTTTGAAATGGTAGGATTTGTTTTCTTCTTATGGCTGAGTAATACTCCATTGTGTATATGCACCACCTCTTCATTCATCTACTGATGGACATGTAGGTTGCTTCCATTTCTCCGCTATTGTAAATAGTGCTGCAGCCTGTTTTTGTGAATAAAACTTGGCACATGGCCATGCCCACTCATGGGTTATGGTGAATTTATACCACAACAGGCCGGCCCTGGCCTGCATAGCCAAAATTACCAGCTGGTCCCTGAACAGCTCCTTGTGTTCAATACTGAGGTGGCTGCCCCTCGCCAGGCTCCCCACAGTGTGGGTTGCCTTTTGCATCTTCACAGGAAGCTTCCAGCGTGGTGGTCACTAATTTTCTGCAGTCTGAATCTATATGGCCAATGACACGGTTAGGGGACAATGCATATTAGTGTTCCAGTGAAACCTGGAGTCCTGGTCAAGGCAGTTGCGGCAGTCGTGGCTCCCTGTCCAGGAGCCCTTGCGGAGTTGGGGCTGGATGCGAGCTGCATACGACTCCCCCTTTCCTGTCCCAAGGTTCTGTCTTCAGACCCTTCCAGCCTGTGCCCCATCTCTCCCAAACCTGCCCCATCACCACCGTCTCACTGGGCTCCGGGCTCTACCCCCTGCCTCCCTGTGTCACTCGCCCCCAGTCAGATGACTCAAGAGCTCTGTCCTGGATCTGTCCGCTTACCACTTCCTCCTGGTACTGCCACCAACCTGGCCAGGCCTCTGCCCTCTCCTGCCTGGGCATGGATTTGCCCTGATAGCAGGCCCCAGATGAACGCTGGAGTCCCTTCATCGCCCAGGGAGCCCTGCCACCCACCTCCCTGCTTGCCCTTCTGTTATTACTGCCCAGCCTCTGCCTGGGCTGTGCCCTCTGCCCCATGTCCTTCCGCCGAGTCACCGAGGACTTAGCAGGACTCCAAATGAGGCCCTCCGTGCCTGCACCATCTCTCTACTCCTTACCCCAGCCCTACCCCCCTCCATCTTCCTGGGCCAGGGTCCCCACCACCTAACCCGACTCCTTTCTGCAGCCCCTCGCCGCCCTCCCCCACTCGCCATCCACCTCCACCCCACACTGACTGCGCCCTGCGGCCCCTCTGCGCGTTTCCCGGCACTGCTCACGGTCCGTCCTCCCCGTGGCCGCCAGAGGGCGTGTGTGAGCCCCGGGCCCAAGTCCCTGCTGCGCCCGCGGCCTCCGGCCCGGCGTCCCCAGGGTAAAGGCCCAGGACCTGCGTCCCCGTCCCGTCACCTCCTTTGCACTGGCTGTTCCTACCAGCGGATGCGCTTCCCACTTAGTCGCCACTCGGGTCTCTTAAGTGCCCTTCCCAGCAGTCCCCCACCGCCCTGCTGTTTGCTCCTCAGCGCTAACCGGGGCCAACATGCCGTTCTGCTGGCGGGCGGAAGCTCTCCCTACAGTGACACTTTCCCACGGTCAGGGTTTTTGGCTGTTCAGTTCATCGCACGTGGCCCAGCACAGTAAGTGCTTGGTAAATGTTAAATGACTGAGTGAATGTCTGCTTCCGTGTGCTGTCGCCCCATCGGGGTCCTCCCTCAGTGCCCAGCCTGAGCTCAGCACTCGGCAAACAGCGGGCGTGCAGTAAACGTTTGCTGAATGACTAATGAACCGTGCGGGCTTAGGGGGGGAGCCGGGCCGCCGCACGGCACAGTCCAGGCGGGAAGCCCACCACCGCCGCGGGACGCACCCTCTCGCCATCCTTCGCGGGGCCCCTCCCGCTCCTCTGCCACTCCCACGGGCTCTCCTGCACTGCTCCAGGGCCCCCCAACCCCGGCAGACCCCCGCCCCTCCCCTTCTGTTCACGCGACCCCCCCACCCATCTCTCCCTCCCGACCTCCTCACCCGTCCCTCCCGAGCCTTACCTCCCCGAGGCTCCCCCCGCCTCTGTGAAGCCCCCAGGGTCCACTCGTTCGCCCCCTTCCCTGAGTCCCCGCCCCACCTCAGCCTCCGCGCAGGCGCAGCGCGTCCCGGCCGTCGCCCCCAGGCTAGCGGCTGAGGGCGGGGCGCGGGCTGGTCCGGACTCCGCGGCTCCATGGGGCTCCTGGGGCTGCTGAGCCTGCTGCACTCTGCCTTCTTCGGGGACCAGGTAGGGCGCGGGAGTCCCAACGGCCGGGAGGTCGGCCCAGGGCGCGGCCGGGGAGGGAAAGACGCAGCCGGGGATGGGTTGAGGACCGCGGGAACGGAGGTCCGGGCGGCTGGGGGCGCACAAGCACGTGCACGGGGGCTTGAAGGGTCTGGGGTCCCGCGCAGTCGCCGTGGAGACCGTTACCAGGGAAACTTCCTCGGCCTGCTAGCCGGGCTAGGAGCCCCTCCCCCGCGACGCAGAGGACACCCCCAAACACCCCAGTCTGCGCAAGCGTGGCCTCGCGGGGCCCAGCCCTTGGCCTCATAGGGACCCCCAGCCCTCTCCTCATTGCGCGGACTTGGAAACCCGCAGGGACTGTGGGGGCTGCGGCGGGGCGCGGCTCCTCCCGCTAGGCGGCCAAGCCCTGCATCTCTCTGGGCCTCAGTTTCCCTCCTCCGGGCTGCTAGGGTTGGGCCGCCTCTGACGTTCGCGGAGGCTAATGTTCGTAATATCCATCCCACCCCCCACCCCCAAGCTCTCTGCCGGCCCCGTCACCTTTATAAATCCTGGGGCCCTAACATCCCCTAGTTAAGAGGAAACAGGCTTGGGGTGTGGTGGGGAGCCCAAGGTCACGCCTCGAGCAGGGCGGGAGCCTGAGCACCGGGCTGGGGCGGCCACAGAGGACGCGGTCGGAGGCCGAGGGGAGCTGTCCGCAGTGCTGACGGGCCGCGTGCCCCTCCCGATCCGGGAAAAAGGCTCAGAGCCCCGGGCAGGCCTGCAAGCCACCACGGGTCGCCTGTCGGGGGAGCGGCCAGGACCGCCCCACTCCACCCCTCCCCCACCTCCGAGGCAGTCCCTCCTCCCGGGGCAGGGCTCTCCCCGTCACCCAGCCCTCGCCACATCCCTGTGGTCGCATGATGACCTGGTGCCTTCCTGCTTCCCCTCGGCTCCGCGGTGGGGACGCCCCTGGTTCTGCCCCCAGCCATTGGCACCGCGGAGGCTCAGTGGGGAAGGGCGGGGCATCCAGGGGGCAGAGCCGCCGGAGGGGAGGCTCAGAACGCGAAGACGCTCAGTGGGCCGTGAGCGACTCTGTTGTGTGTCGGGCCACGTGCTGGGGGGTTGGTGGGGGGGGAGGCAGGAGGAGAACCTAGCCCTGTGATCCAACTTTCTCCTGGAGGACCTAGCAGCGGTAGGGGGCATAGAGGATACCAGGGAGAAAGCCTGGGAAGGGGCCACCTTACAGCTGGGCACTGTGCAACCGGGAAGCGCTCAGCTCCCCAAGATTGTGCCTGGGGTCCTGGGGGGGCTGTGGGAATTCCCAAGGCTCTTGTTCTAGAACTTGCAGTGATGTTGAATATTGTTGTGGCTCAAGAATACACAGGGTAAAGGATTCTGGGGGTGTCAGAGGTGTGATGTCCTGGAGGCTTGGGGACAAGTGTATCTTGCCTTGGGGTTTCAGTCCCCATGAGGATCATTTGTGAACTCACGCACTGTGCTCCCTGGTCTGAGCCTCAGTTGCCTCACGTTTACAAGGACAGGAGTGGACACTGGACAACCCCCCATCTGCCTCCGCTCCTACCACCCCCCCACCCCCAGCCCCTGACAGCTGTAAGGTTCTGGCTAAGTCGGGCCTGGGAGCAGTAATCTCCGAGACTGGAAGGTGGATGTGAGGAGGTCTTAGTTCTGTGGGGTGCAGGGGGGGGGCGGGGTTCTCCAGCCCACCTCCCAGTGAGCAAAACAGGAAACTGAGACCAGAGAGAGACATGCCCAAACACATGCAGGGAAATGACCGCCGAAGCCAGGGCCAGGGCTCTGTCGTCTACCTGCCTCCTTTCCAGCTTTGCCTGGCGTACCCTGCTCTCCCAGCTCAGCTCAGCCGCAGGATTCCTCCAGGGGGACTGCCCCTGATCTAAACCCCTCATAACTGTCCCGGGCTGGCCTCACCACCCATGGCCCCACTGGAAGCCCATACCCACTGAGCTGATGTCTCCAAGCCCCTGGCATTGCTCATGCTGTTCCTTCAGCCTGGAATGTCTTCTTGACCCCGTAGTCAGCCCTTACTCATCCTGAAGAGGCCCGGCTCCAGTGTCCTCCTCTCAGGGCAGCCTTCCCAGCATCCACAGAGGGCCCCTCTGACCACTGCATACCGTCCATGAGCTGCGCGGGCTGGGGACGGCTGTATCCCGTCTCCAGAGGCTCTGGGGCAGCCCCGGCTGAGTCCTCCTGGGGCCCACACAGGACATGGGGGGCCTCCCGCAGACCCAGAAGGAACCACCTGGCCTCTGTGCCCTTGGCTACCCGTCCTGTTGTCCTCGGGCCCATCCTCATGAAGGCTGCAGCCCCCTCCCCTTTTCACAGAGAGGAAAACTGAGGGCCTCGAGGTGGACGATTTCGCCCTGGATCCTCAGCAGGGAAGAGACAGAGGCAGGCCCCAAACCAGCGTCTCCTGGGGCCAGTGCCCCCTTCTCTGGCCTTGAAGTGTGCCCAGGCTAGCAACCGAAAGGACTGTCTGCAGCGGGGAGGGGGAGGTGTGGAGTCGAGGCGGGTGCCCACGGAGTTGCTGATGCTCTTCGGGGAACACGGGGAGAAATGCACGGTCCCAGCCTGCCCATCCCCCACCCCCGCCAGCCTGGACCCAGGGGAAGAGGGTACAGCATGGACTCCCAGCCCTGTCCACCCCGACCCATCCGACAGGCAGGGCCGGATCCATGGGGGGGACCTGTTCTGGCCCCTGCCCCTGCTAAGATTCTGATGTAACGTCCAAGGCCCAGATGTTTTACTCCTAAATTATGCGGATCCAGCTCCGGGAAGCGCTAAATGGCCGTTTCACCCCGGAATGGGGTGGGTGCCGCGTAGTCCCAACCTTCCCCCGCACCCGCAGCCCGTGAACCCGCGCGAAGGCCAGAAGCCCAGAGGCCGCAGCCCCTCCCCACCCCAGCGTGCCATTGGCTGTTGCCATGGCACCAACCATCTTCCCGCGCCGCCATTGGCTGCCGCTCCTGCACCCCGCATCCTGCACCCCTCATCCTCCACCGCTCGCGGTGGTCTCGCCCAGCGCCGCTCGCGGCGGCGCCGCCTGGCTAGGCCTGGACTGGGCTTTGTCCGCCCCGGGGTCCCTGCCCGCGCCGCCAAGATCTCGGACCCTGGAGCCGGCGCCCACGCCAGTCCAGCCCAAGTGAGATAAAGTAAGCGGCGCTCTTCTCTGGATGGAGGGTTGGGGGCGCGGCCTCCGCCTTTGTCGGGGGTCTCTGTCACCTCCGCCCGCCGGCGCACACTGTGGAGTTGGAGGGGAAACTGAGTCCCAGGGAGGTGGGCGCTACGTCGCTGCCGCAGGTCCTAGGCACACACCCACCCGCCGGCTGCAGAGCCCCGATCTCCCGGCCTCACGGGCAGGCCTGCTGTGTGCCTTGAGGGGCTGTGCTGCACCTGCCCAGGCAGCAGCGTCCTTCTCTGTAAAATGGGAGTTTGGGCTGAGGGAGAGAAGGGCCCCTTTGGGCCCCCCCTGTGCCGTCCTCCCCTGAAATTCAGCCACACACCGTTCAGATGAACCCCCAGTGTTGGTGCTTTCGCTTTGCTGATGCAGAGTTCTCAGGGAACCTGGGGGTGAAGGGCGGGCAGGAGGGCTTCCTGGAGGAAGATGTGCCTGGAGGGATGGCAGGAGTTAGGAAAGGTGCTCCCAGCGGACGCCTGCATGTGCAGAGGCCTGGGGAGAGAGGGCTGTGGTGGTGGTGAGGCAGGTGTCGGAACAGGGGAGGGGTGGAGCCCAACCAGTGGCTTTCAGAGGTTCCCTCCGGCTGTGCAGGAGCCGATGGATGGTGGAGGCCCGCGAGGCCTCCGTGGAGAGGGTCCCGTGGGGCAGAGCTTGAGGGACTGGTGGGAGTGCAGAGTTGGGCACGCAGGCTGGAATGAGGCGGTGCCATGTTTGGGGGAGCTGCTGCCAGGCTCAGTCTGACGGGGATGTAGGAGTGACTGCCAGACAGGGGGGCGTGCGTGAGAGGGTCTGGGTTTGGAGAGCGGGAGGGAGCCTTTTGCTTCACCCAGTGCTCGCCCCAGCCAGACCTGTGTCCACAGGGCTCCAGCCAGACCCCAGGGGTCTTGCCGAGCCCCTGGGCTTGGCCCTCAGCCGGCCCCCCCGATTGAGCCTTGGGCAGGATCAGTACGGGGGTGGGAGGCAGAGGTGTGGCCGAGAGGCAGCTGGCCTCCCACACTGACAGGCCGCCTCCCGTCCTGTCCCGTCTGCACCGTGATGTGCTGTTTGCTCCGTGTCAGCTCTCCTTGCTGGCCCAGCGGTGGTCCCTGAGCACTGTGACAGGAAGACGGATGACAGGGTGCGGCGTACAGTAGGTCTTCGGAGCAGTTCGGGACAGCCTGAGTTCACCTCCCCGCCTGGGGCTGGACCCCCACTCCTGCCCCAGGTTCTGCTTGCACCCTCAGTGACCTCAGGGAGGAGAGATTGTCGAATGAGTGAAGTGGTGCCCCTGCCCCCGCCGCTGTGGGCAGGGGAGGGCTGGCGATTTGGGGAGTGGGGGAGGCGGCGCCGAGAGGAGGCAGTGGAGGGGTTGGGCTGCCATTGGTGCGCCTCAGACAAAGGCAGAGGAAGGAGGAGCGCCGGTGGGAAGGGAACAAAGAGGGCAGGGGGCTGGGGGCAGCACAGCTCCTGCAGGACCAGGCCGGAGGGGGTGCTGGCCAGCGGGACGAGGGAGGGGGCTGAGCCAGAGCGAGAGGCCAGCCAGACAAACAAAGAAGCAGGCTCTGGTAGCAGAGCCCAGGGGATGGGGCACGGGGCACTGCCAGCTGCAGGGGCTCATGGAGCGCTGGGTGGGGGGAGGCGGAGCCACCCAGGTGCTACTCCAGGCCCAGCTGCTTTTGGACAGAGTGTGGGGGCTTCAGAATGTCCAGTTTCTGGTGCCTCAGAGTAACCGTGGTAGGTTTGGGTCCATCTGTCCCACTGTCCAGCTGTGGGGGACCGTCAGCCTGACCCTTCTGGGAAAGCCCTCCATTGCTTTCTTAGGTGCTTGTGTTGGCCTTCGTGGCATTTTTATTGTCCACCAGCTGAGCAGCTGCGCTTCTGTGGCGAAGGGCCTTTGCTCTGTCCATCTGTCTGTCTCTCTGGCTGTGAGTGTTTCTGTGAGCTTGGTGATACAGGGCTGGCCAGTCCCATCTGCCGAGTGGTACTTTCAGGGTCTTGGCTGCCCATCTATACGTCTAGCTGTCAGTATGTCTGGGAGCCTGGCACTAAGGGTGGACATCTATCTGTGTCTGTCAGTCAGTTGGGTGTTTGGGCTGTGTGTCTCTCTGTCTGTCATCCTGTCTGCCAGGCCATCTGTCCCTGGACTCCTTGCCTGCAGTGGTCCGTGCCAGACCCCACCACCAGGACTGGGTGGGAGGGCTGGGGTTAGGTCAGGTGCCACCCCCTTCCCAGGCCCTGCGGTAAGCCCCCTGCTCCGTGGCCCCAGGCACTGCAGGAGCTGAAGATGATGAGTTCCGTGGCGCCCTACAAGCAGCTGGTGCGGCAGGTGGAGGCCTTGAAGGCCGAGAACAGTCACCTGAGGCGGGAGCTGCGGGACAACTCGAGCCACCTGTCCAAACTGGAGACAGAGACATCTGGCATGAAGGTTGGAGGGGCTCTGGGTGGGGGGTGCAGGGACCAGAGTTGCAGGGACAGAGCCCAGGGCGGTGGACCCAGAGGTGGGCATTCAGGGCCCCAGGTGTGTCGCAGGGATGGACGGGGCAGCAGGCCTGTGACCACAGGTGCTCTGCCCACCCCCACCCTCAGGAAGTCCTCAAGCGCCTACAGAGCAAGCTGGAGCAGGAGGCCCGAGTGCTGGGGTCCTTGGGGCAGACCGAGGTGCTGGAGCAGCTGAAAGGTGACGGGCCAGCCTGGGGACCCCCTTGCACCCTGGGTTGATGCCCGGTATGCCCCCACAGGGAGTCGGGAAGAGGGAGACAGGGAAGGGTGCTGACCTCGCCCTGCACCTCCGTGCCCCCAGCCCTGCAGATGGACATCGCCAGCCTGTATAACCTCAAGTTCCAGCCGCCCGCCCTGGAACCTGAGCCCGCTGCCCGGACCCCTGAGGAGAGCCCAGTACACAGTTCCGGGCCCTCCAAGGATAGCTTTGGGGAGCTGAGCCGGGCCACCATCCGGCTGCTGGAGGAGCTGGACCGGGAACGGTGAGCCCACAGGAACCTGCGCAGGGGCAGGGTGATGTGGTTCTACCCCGGCAGTCTCTGCCTTGGTTGGCCCATGGGCATGGGCAGGCCCTGCTCCCCGGTAGAGGCCGCCCCCTCTCCTGGCGCCGCTGACCTCCGTCGGAGGATGGGGGACGTTCCTGGCAGAGGGGAAGAGCTCCTGGGAGACATCCCCAGGGGTCCCCGACACGCAGGCGTCGCCAAGGACAGGGCTGTGTCCAGCTCCAGGGCTGAGTCAGGCCTGCAGCCAGAGGGGCTTCAAGGCCGCCTTTGTGGAGGGAAGGCTGCAGCCCAAGAAACCTGGGCCCAGGGCCAGCAGAGGGAGGCAGGGGGTGGGCCCTTGGCTCAGCTCTGCTGGGTCGTGTGGGGTCAGATGGGGCCGCTCCAGATCGCATGGAGTCCAGTCCGTGTTCTGCTGTGTGGCCGCAGGCAAGTCCCCTCACTGTCCCAGACTCAGACTTCTGCTCTGTAAAATGGGTGCGGTGTCCCCCCCGGAGTTGTCCAGAAAGCGACCTGACGCTGGGGCAGTCGGGGCCTGAAGCTGACCCTGCAGAGGCTCGAAGGAGATCAGCGAGTTTGGGCGAGGGATCGGAGCCAGGCCGCGCCCCGCAGCCTCCCCCGGGGTCGATTCCCTGCGCCTCACACAATTAGCCAGCCCTATCCCCCACTCCCGGGGCGGGAGCCACAGGGACGAGGCGTCGCCACGCCCCCTGTTAAACCTGGCCCACAGTGAGCGCCCACAGTGACGGCAAAAATCAAAATAAACAGCGCCCGCCCGCCCGCCCCCAGGTGCTTCCTGTTGAACGAGATCGAGAAGGAGGAGAAGGAGAAGCTCTGGTACTACTCGCAGCTCCAGGGCCTGTCCAAGCGCCTGGACGAGCTTCCCCACGTGGAGACGGTGAGCGCGCGGGGGGGCGGGCGTCTGCGCGTCCGGGACCCGGCGAGCGGGGCGGCGGCAGCCCCGCCCGGGCGCCCCTCACCGCGGCCCCCCCGCCCCTCCCAGCAGTTCTCGATGCAGATGGACCTGATCCGGCAGCAGCTGGAGTTCGAGGCCCAGCACATCCGCTCGCTGATGGAGGAGCGCTTCGGCACGTCGGACGAGATGGTGCAGCGCGCGCAGGTGCGGCGCGGGCGGGGCGGGGCTGGGCGGGCGCGCCCGAGGGCGAACCGGAGCGCAGAGGTTGCCTGGTCAGCGGCGGGAGACGGGCCCTGGGTGAATCCGACGGCAGAGACTGCTGTGGGCGGAGCCTGGGCCAGGAGGCGAAGCCAGAAGCTGGGGCCGCCTGTGGTTGGGGCCGCCTGTGGTTGGAGCCGGAGGGCAGAGCGGGACGCAGAAGGCGGAGTCCCGGAATAATGAGACGGGGCGGGCCAGTGGACGGACCCGAGTCTGAGCAAGCCGCGGGCGTTGACTTGGTCCATGGACTGGACCAGACCAGGGGGTGGGCGGGTCTAGGTGGATGGGGTGGGGTCTAAATAGGGCTAGGGGCAAACAAGGAGTAGGTGGGTCTAGATGGCGCCTGGATAGGGGCGGGGCCCACTCGGAGTGGGTTCGCCTAGGAGGGTGGGGCCAAACCACGGGGTGGGCGGAGTCAGCCAGGGAGGCTTTTGGGGGTGGGTGGGGCCATATCAGGCAGAGGTTGGAGTCTTGCGGGGCAGGGGGTGGGTAGTGGGCGTGGCCAATTGGAGTGGGCGGGGTAAGCCCTAGCTTTCAAGTGTTCTGGGTGCAGATCCGCGCCTCGCGCCTGGAGCAGATCGACAAGGAGCTGCTGTCAGCGCAGGACCGGGTGCAGCAGACGGAACCACAGGTACTGGGAGGGGCGGGGCTTGGGCCCTGGGTCTGCTGATGGCTCCGGGCAGTGAGGGAACCGCAGGGCCCTGCCCCGGGTGCAGGACTGGGTCTGCAGACCCCACCCATGTCATCACAGGGGTGTAGCCGGCCTCAGCTGCCTGGTGCCTTGTGAGGTGCTTCCTGGCCAAACTTCTAAAAGCCTGGCATTTCCACAGGCCCTGCTGGCGGTGAAGTCGGTGCCGGTGGAGGAAGACCCCGAGACTGAAGTCCCCACGCACCCTGAGGATGGCGCCCCACAGCCAGGCAACAGCAAGGTGAGGGGGAGTGCGAGGGGCATGAGAGCCGGGGCGGGGCAACAAGCTGGGTTCGGGATGTGGGGCTCCTATCTCCCCAGGCCTTGGTAAGGCGTTCCAGGTGTGGGAGGCTGCCCTGGGTTGGGGGTGCATGACGCTGCTGGGACCAGCATACGGTCTGGAGCCTGGTGAGATGGGCGGGGATACCGGTTCTGTGTGTTTGGAGGTGCACTTTAGACTTAGATGTAAGATGCCCCCCTGGAGTATCCATTGAGGCAGATAAGGTGGGCACTTGGCCCTCACGGGCTGGGGGCATCTTGGCAGTGACTGATGCCACCCTCCGTCTGTCCCCCCAGGTGTGTGTGTGCGGTGGTCTCAGGAGAATGCGCGGTAACGGTGGTCCGGGGAGCAGGCGGTCCTCCTGGGCTGGGGTCTCAGGACTTCGCCGTGTGTTGCGAGAGAGCCGTCAGGTGAGGGCCAGGTGAGCCGGGCGGGGTTCCCACCCTGACCCCATTCCCTGCCTCTCGCAGGTGGAGGTGGTCTTCTGGTTGCTGTCCATGCTGGCGACGCGCGACCAGGAGGACACCGCGCGCACGCTGCTCGCCATGTCCAGCTCGCCGGAGAGCTGCGTGGCCATGCGCCGCTCGGGATGTCTGCCGCTGCTCTTGCAGATCCTGCACGGCGTGGAGGCGGGCGCTGGGGGTCGCGGCGGGACTCCCGGGGCGCCTGGGGCCAAGGACGCGCGCATGCGCGCCAACGCGGCGCTGCACAACATCGTCTTCTCACAGCCGGACCAGGGCCTGGCGCGCAAGGAGATGCGGGTCCTGCATGTGCTGGAGCAGATCCGCGCCTACTGCGAGACCTGCTGGGACTGGCTGCAGGCGCAGGACGGCGGGCCAGAGGGAGGCGGCGGTGAGTGACAGCCTCATGGGACCTCCCTGCAATGGGCCTGTGGCTTGGGCTCCCCGGTGACGGGGCCACGTCGTTAGGGGAACAGCGGTCACCGGCCTTTGCTGTGTGCAGCACTCTGTGCTATGCCCTCACTGACGCCTTTCGGGAACCTCCTCATGACGGATTCTCAGAGATTGTCACCAACAGCCTGGTTGTGCCTGGCACCGGGTGGATGCTCAGGAAGCAGTCCCTGAGGGTACAGCTGGGTGTGGGTCACCCTGGAACCTGGGTGCACAGTTTGGGATTCCTAGTTTCTGCTGCTGATTGCAAAGTTAATGTGGGACAAAGCATGCCCGAGGCTCGGAGCACCAGGCTTTACCGCAGGTTTGCAGTGCTGGGCGAGGCAGGCACCCTCTTTATTCATCTTAGGTTAAGTAAAGGAGGCCCACTGCCCTGGCAGTGACCCCTCGGGGACAAGCATGCAGTCTGAGAAGCTCTGGGGTCTTAGCAGGCCTGCAGGGTGGAACAGGCAAGGAGGGAGGGGTGGGGACAAGCCCAGGGAAGACGTTTCCCAGAGAGGGAGGGCCCTGACTCGGTCCCTTGGCTCACAGCCCCGGTCCCCATCGAGCCACAGATCTGCCAGGCCACCTGTGCTGTGATGAAGCTGTCCTTTGATGAGGAATACCGCCGCGCCATGAACGAGCTGGGTGAGTGCCCCCTCGCCTCCCCGCACACGCTGCAGCCCCCTATTTGGCCCCAAGGCTGCTGGGCCTTGCTCAGTCCAGGGCAGGCTTTCAGCCACAGTGGTCTTGGGGCTCAGAGAACAGGGAAGTGGCCGGGAAGCCAAAAGCAAAGGTAAGAGACCCAACTTGGTAATACCAGGAATTGGAGCTGTTGGGTGGTTTGGGGGTGGGGGAGTGGGGGGCAGAGTTTTAGGTTTGGGAGCATATAATACATTCTCCTTTTCCATAAACAGTAATGGAAACATGGAAAAAGGAACTATAAGGGCCTAAACTCATCAATATGCTCACTTTATTACAAAGTGGGGTTCTTCGTACCCACTCAGCAGACGATCAAAACACCCAAAGGTTTTATGGGATCTGGCTTGGCCTGGCTGTGCGGCAAGGGGAGCTGGCAGCCCTGGTGAGGGAGTGCGGTGGTGCTGACACTCCAGGAGAGGGCACACCGTCTGCGTCATTCCTGCCCTCCTGCTTCCCCAGCACCAGCAAGGGATTGATCCTCTGGCTGGATTTACTGACAAGGGCAGGCAGGCAGGCAGCAGCCCAAATAAAACCTCAGATCCAGAAGCAATGTGTGCCCAACAGTAGGGGATGGGTCGGACGCCCTGGCACGTCATACGACCATTCAGGTCCACAGTGTGTCTCTGGGGAGAGCCATGCATGGTGTGCTGTACCTGCTTGCGTGTGCCTGAGAATACAGTTTAAACACAGGAAGACAGTGCCCTGGGCATTGGGCTTCTAAGCACATCTGGGGGTGAGACAGAGGAAGGGCTCTGAGGTGAGGGGGCCTCGCGGACAGAGGCTGGAAAGCAGGCGGGCGTGTGCAGGGCACCAGGCAGAGGACCTGGCTCGCCCTGCATGTCCCCAGCCTTGCTGCGCCTTCCACGTCCCTGCAGGCGGGCTGCAGGCCGTGGCAGAGCTGCTGCAGGTTGACTATGAGATGCACAAGATGACCCAGGACCCACTCAACCTTGCCCTGCGCCGATACGCTGGCATGACCCTCACCAACCTCACCTTCGGGGATGTCGCCAACAAGGTCCTGGGGCTGACCTGAGGCGGGTGGGGTCAGCAGCGCTCCCCTGGCCTGAGCCTCCCTCGACCTCATCTGAACCTTGAAACAGCCCTGAGGGGTGGGGGCAATTGTCCCCAATTTATGATTTATGGGCAGGTGGACCAAGGCCAAGAGAGGGCTGGGGAGGGGTGGGGCAGTGTCTGGATGAGATTGGCCAGGTTGGCACATGCTGCCATCTCCTGGGAGAATGGGCCCTCCGGGCCGGGGAGGCTAGTTGTCCTGCGTCAGTCTGAGCCTCAGTTTCCTCATCTGAGCAATGGGGTGACTGCCTCCCTCCCCCGTGGCAGTGAGGATGAGGCCTGGGGCTCAAGCCCTAGCACACAGACAGTGCTCGCTGGCTGAGAGAGGGGGCCTGTGGGTGGGAGTGGACCCCCTGCTGGCTGAGGCATGACTTTTCTCTGTAACAACAGGCCACACTGTGTGCCCACCGGGGCTGCATGGAGGCCATTGTGGCCCAGCTGGCTTCCGAGAGCGAGGAGCTCCACCAGGTACCCAGGCAGGGCGGGGCAGGGTGTCCCGCTGCCCGAGGCCCTTGCCGGCAGAGCCCCCCCAGTGGGTGCTGTGGGCAACCCTGGCTGAGGGTGGCGTGCGGGGGCACCTTGGGAGCCAGCCCCAGGCCCACCTTGCCTGCCCCACCCCAGGTGGTGTCCAGCATTTTACGTAACCTGTCCTGGAGGGCCGACATCCACAGCAAGAAGGTGCTCAGGGAGGTGGGCAGCATGGCCGCCCTGATGCAGTGTGTCCTGCGGGCCTCCAAGGTGGGCATGGCCGGGGCGGCGGGGCTGGGGGAGCGGGAACGCCCATGGCTGTGGCAGGAGGGGCCTCCAGGGCTGTTTGGCACAAGCCATGGGGCAGGGAGACCCTGGCAACAGGTGGGGAGTTCTCCATCTCAGGGAACAAGACCAGACAACCCGCCCCTTGGCAGGTGGCCCAGGCCAGGGCCGCTGACTCTGTGACGGCCAGTTTTTTGTTCCTTTTCACTGTCACTCGGGGACCAAGTGTGTGACTCAGTGATGTTAACAGTAGTCACTTGTGGGGGCCACGTGGGGGACCCCACCGCTGACCTGCCCCACCTCCCCGCCCAGGAGTCCACGCTGAAGAGCGTGCTCAGCGCCCTGTGGAACCTCTCGGCACACAGCACAGAGAACAAGGCGGCCATCTGCCAGGTGGATGGCGCGCTGGGCTTCCTGGTGAGCACGCTGACCTACAAGTGTCAGAGCAACTCGCTGGCCATCATTGAGAGTGGGGGCGGCATCCTGCGTAATGTGTCCAGCCTCATCGCCACCCGCGAGGACTACAGGTCGGCCCCAACACCCCCTGGTCGTGGTGGGCACAGGGCACGGGGCAGGCGGGCTGGGGCTGGGGGCCGGTCCTGCTCTGCCCAGCAAGCCGGCAAACGGCTGTCCCTGACTTGCTCTGCGGGGGCTGAGTTTCTTCCGGTATATCTCAAATATTGTGTGGGATGTGCTTATACTAAATTTTGAATGAATTTATTAAAGATGTATATTGTTTTTTAAGTAATATTAGTAATACATCCTTGTTCTTTATTAATAAGATATTAAACAAAACTAATAACTAATACTTTACTAAAATGAAATACTTTTTAATTTAAGTAATATTAATAGTAAATAATGCTTCTAATGCATGAAAATACATAACATTTGCTTTTGATAAAAGCACATCCCAGATGTTGTTTGGGATGTACTTGTGTGAAAGATTTTAAGGTAAATAGAACATTGATTGATTAAACAAGGCTAGTAATAAACCATAACACAGTGTTTTTAAAAACAAAGTCTGTCTTCAGTACAAGTACGCCCCAAACATCACGAGATGTGCTTAAAATGAAATCTACTGGAAGGAAGCTTTAGTTTGAAAAAGTCCTATTAACTCATCGTTAGTATTACTTAGCACAAGTCTTACCTTCATAAAGGACAGCTTTGGCACAGGTGCACCTCTTTAGGTATTTGGGATGTGCTCCAATGAATGTCGAGTCCTTTTTCTGTCTCCTTATTGCTTTGGAGCCACGAGCTCTGCTCCTGGAGTGGGAGGCGGGGGTGCCAGGGCATGGGGCCCACAGCCTGATGCCCCTGCCCCCGTCTGCCCACGCCCCAGGCAGGTGCTGCGCGACCATAACTGCTTGCAGACGCTGCTGCAGCACCTGACGTCCCACAGCCTGACCATTGTGAGCAACGCCTGCGGCACTCTCTGGAACCTGTCTGCCCGCAGCACGCGAGACCAGGAGCTGCTCTGGGACCTGGGCGCAGTGGGCATGCTCCGCAACCTGGTGCACTCCCGCCACAAGATGATTGCCATGGGCAGTGCCGCTGCCCTGCGCAACCTGCTGGCCCACCGGCCCACCAAGTACCAGGCAGCAGCCACCGCCGTCTCCCCCGGCGCCTGCGCACCCAGCCTGTATGTGCGGAAGCAGCGCGCACTGGAGGCCGAGCTGGACACGCGGCACCTGGTCCAGGCGCTCGACCGCCTGGGGAAGCAGGGTCCTCCTGAGGCTGAGGCCGAGTCCGAGTCCGAGGCTGCCTCCAAGAAGCCGCTGCCCCCACTGCGGCTCCTGGACGGGCTGGCCCAGGACTATGCCTCGGACTCAGGCTGCTTTGATGATGACGATGCACCCTCCCTGGCCGCTGCGGCTTCCGCCGCTGAGCCTGCCAGCCCAGCTGTGCTGTCCCTCTTCCTGGGCAGCTCCTTCCTGCAGGGGCAGGCACTGGGCCGCACCCCACCCACCTGCCTCGGTGGCCCAGAGGTGGAGAAGGAGCCCGGTGGAGAGGCAGCTGTGGCGGCCAGGGCCAAGGCCAAGCTAGCGCTGGCAGTGGCACGAATAGACAGGCTGGTGGAGGACATCTCGGCCCTGCACACATCATCCGATGACAGCTTCAGCCTCAGCTCAGGGGACCCAGGGCAGGAGGTGCCACGGGAGGGCCGTGCTCAGTCCTGCTCGCCCTGCCGGGGGCCCGAGGGTGGGCGGCGGGAGGCGGGCAACTGTGCCCACCCGCTGCTGCGGCTCAAGGCAGCCCACGCCAGCCTCTCCAATGACAGTCTCAACAGCGGCAGTGCCAGTGACGGGCGCTGCTCCCAGGACCCCACACGGCCCCGCCCACTGGCTGTGCTTGCAGAGCACCACGAAGGGCCTCTGAGAGGGCAGGCGCGGCCCCACCTGCTTGACCTCAACCTGCCAAGTGTCCAGGTTGATCTGGCGGCCAGAGACGCGGTGGCCGACGCCCACGTGCGCACCATCAAGCTGTCACCCAGCTACCAACATGTGCCACTGCTTGAGGGCAGTGCCAGGGCGGGTGCAGGGCTACTGGGCCCTGGGACACGGAAGCAGGCCTGGCTGCCTGCAGAGGGCCTGAGCAAGGTTCCCGAGAAGCTGGTGGTGGGGGCGCCACCTCTCTGCATGTCCCACTGCAGCTCCCTGTCCTCCCTGTCCTCGGCTGGCCGCCCGGGCCCCAGTGAGGCTGGGGACCTGGATGACAGTGACACTTCCCTGGAGGGGCTGGAGGAGGCAGGCCCCAGTGAGGCAGAGCTGGATGGGGCCTGGCGCAGGCCTGGGGCCGCTTCCCTGCCTGTGGCCATCCCGGCGCCCCGGCGAGGCCGGGGCCTGGGGGTGGAGGATGCCACGCCGTCCAGCTCATCAGAGAACTGTGTGCAGGAAACCCCGCTGGTGCTGAGCCGCTGCAGCTCGGTGAGCTCCCTGGGCAGCTTCGAGAGCCCCTCCATTGCCAGCTCCATCCCCAGCGAGCCCTGCAGTGGGCTAGGCAGCGGCACAGTGAGCCCCAGCGAGCTGCCCGACAGCCCTGGGCAGACCATGCCACCGAGCCGCAGCAAGACACCGCCGCTGGTCCCCGCGCCATCCTGCGAGCGTGACACCACACAGTTCAGTCTGCAGTGGGAGAGCTACGTGAAGCGCTTCCTGGACATCGCCGACTGCCGGGAGCGCTGCCGGTTGCCATCAGAGCCGGACGCGGGCAGCGTGCGCTTCACAGTGGAGAAGCCCGACGAGAACTTCTCGTGTGCCTCGAGCCTTAGCGCGCTGGCGCTGCACGAGCACTACGTGCAGAAGGACGTGGAGCTGCGGCTGCTGCCCCCCACCTGCCTGGAGCGCAGCCAAGGCCCCAGCCAGCACGTGGCCGGGCACCTCCGGTGGGACGAGGCTGGGAGTCGCCCTGAGGGGCTGCCGGCCGCTAATCAGGAGTTGGGGCTGCTGCGTGAGTGCCTGGGCGTGGCCATGCCCACCCGGCTCCGCAAGGTGGCCTCAGCGCTGGCGCCCGGCCGTGGCACGCTGCCTGTGTACATGCTGGTGCCTGCGGCCCGGGAGGGTGATCCCAGCGCTGACTCGGCTGAGGGCACGCCGGTTGACTTCTCCAGCACCACCTCGCTCAGTGACGAGACACTGCAGGGACGGCCCCAGGACCTGCCCGGAGGGCGTGCAGACAGGCACAAGCCCACAGGCCACGCCGCCCCTGCCAGGCAGGCCACTGGACACGGGCAGAGGGCAGGAGGCACAGGCCGGAGCACAGGGCAGGCCTGGGGGGCAGGCAGGGGCCGGGCAGCGCTGGAACTACCTCTCCGCCAGTCCCCCAGCACCTGCGTGGACAGGGACAGCGCCCGCATGGGCCGAGCACGAGGGGACGGGGCGCTGCAGTCACTGTGCCTCACGACGCCCACAGAGGAGGCCGTGTACTGCTTCTATGACAACGATTCTGAAGAAGAGCCCCCGGAGGCGGTGGCGGCAGCCCCCAGGCGGGCGTCCGGGATCCCCCGTGCGGTGAAGAGGGAGCGCCCAGCCGCGGCCAGCAGGAAGGAGGTGCAGTCCGCACCCAAGGCCGTGCCGCCCACCCGGGCCCAGCCCAGCCTGATCGCCGACGAGACACCACCGTGCTTTTCCCTCAGCTCCTCCGCCAGCTCCCTCAGCGAGCCCGAGCCCCCCAAGTCTGCGGCAGGCCGGCCCCAAGCCCGCGAGCCAGCGGTCCCCAGGGACCTGGGCAGCGGGCGTGACAGCTCCCAAGGCCCGCGGGCCGAGGCCGAGCTGCTGCGGCACCGCATCACAGCTGCGCCCAGGCGCCGGCCCCAGGCATCAGCCCCACGGCACCGCAAGCCCCCAGCTGCCCAGCCAGACAAAAGGCCCGCGGAGGGGCCCCAGGAGCACAGCAGCGAGGCCGCAGGCTCAGACCGCGCCTCGGACCTGGACAGTGTGGAGTGGCGTGCCATCCAGGAGGGCGCCAACTCCATCGTCGCGTGGCTGCACCAGGCAGCGGCAGCCACAAGCAAGGCCTCGTCTGAGTCGGATTCCATCCCATCCATGTCGGGGCCCTCTGCGGGCTCCCCCCAGCAGCCTGCCCCGCTCAGGAAGGGGAGACGGCCAAGGCCAGAGGGCCGGGCAGGGAGCGCCGTGCGGCTGGAGAGACGGGGCCCTGCCCTGGCCCAGCGTGGCGGCAGCAGCCGGCCGCGCTCTCCCGGTGGCTCTGAGAAGCCGCGTGGCGCTCCGAAGACCAAGTCTGGAATGCCAGCTGTGCTCCGGGGGCGGACAGTGATCTACATGCCAAGCCCAGCGACCCGGGCTCAGCCCAGAGGCACCCCCAGTCCCCGTGCAGCCCCGAGGAGGATGGGACCCCTGAGCCCCCCACAGCCAGCAGCCCCCTCCAAAGTGCTGGGCCCCGGACAGCAGCGGTCCCGAAGCCTACACCGGCTGGGCAAGACCTCGGAGCTGACAGCGCCCATCCCGCCCCAGAGGAGTGCCACGCCACCCGCCCGCCTCACCAAGACTCCCTCGTCCAGCTCCTCCCAGACCTCCCCAGCCTCTCAGTCCCTGCCCGGGAGGTCACCCCCTGCCACCCAGGCTTCAGGGCCCCTGCCTGGCCCTGGGGCTTCTCAGGTGCCCAGGGTCCCTGCGCGGGCCCTGCTGGCCAAGCAGCACAAGACGCAGAAGTCGCCAGTTCGGATCCCATTTATGCAGAGGCCCGCCCAGCGGGGGCCACCAGCCCTGGCCAGGGCAGTCCCAGAGCCAGGCCCCAGGGGCCGGGCAGGGGCTGAGGGGTGTCCAGGTGTCCGGGGAGGCCGCCTGGGCCTGGTGCGCATGGCCTCTGCCCGCTCCAGTGGTAGCGAGTCCTCTGACCGCTCAGGTTTCCGGCGGCAGCTGACCTTTATCAAGGAGTCCCACGGCCTGCTGCGCCGGCGCTCAGAGCTGTCAGCTGTGGAGGCCACGAGCTCCGCCTCCCAGGGTGGGTCGCCCCGCCGAGGCCGGCCCGTGCTGCCTGCCGTCTTCCTCTGCTCCTCGCGCTGTGATGAGCTGCGGGCAGACCCCCAGAAGGCCCCGGCCCCCCAGCGGTCTCCCGTGTCCAGACCCAGTCCCAGCGAGCGGCTGCCCCGGCGCACCAGCTCTGAGAGCCCGTCCCGCCTGCCCGTCCGCACGCCAGCTGGTCAGCCTGAGACGGTCAAGCGTTACGCCTCCCTGCCTCACATCAGCGTGGCCCGCAGGTCCGACAGTGCCACCCCCAGACCCACAGCTGACAGCACCCGCCGAGGCAGCGATGGGGAGGCCCGCCCACTGCCCAGGGTAGCCACACTGGGCACCACGTGGCGCCGCATCCGGGATGAGGATGTTCCCCACATTCTGCGGAGCACGCTGCCCCCCACTGCCCTGCCACTGATGAGTGCTTCGCCAGAGGGGGTCACCGGAAACTCCCCTCAGCGCAAGACCAGTGATGCTGTAGTCCAGACGGAGGACTTCATGGCCACCAAGACCAATTCCAGCACATCCCCCAGCCTAGAGAGCAGGGAGCCCCCCCAGGCTCCAGTCGGTGGCCTCACACCCCTCCTCGGCAGCGCTGTGGACGGGCCTGGGCCCGCCAAGGCACCCTCGTCTGCCCACGAGAGCCCAGGGGTGGCTGCTGGGGGCTTCCCCACAAGCCGGCATGGCTCCCCCAGCCGCTCAGCCCGCGTCCCCCCCTTCAACTATGTGCCCAGCCCCATGGTGGCAGCAGCCACTGCCTCGGCCGTGGAGAAGGCCACTACTCCAACCCCTGTCAGCCTCCTGGAATAGTGGCCCAGCCTCCTCCTGCATTCTCTCCCCACTGGCCAGTCCGGCTGCCCCGAGGGTGGTACCAGGGCCACCGGCCCACCGGAACCCCAGCCCTTGGAGCCCCCACCCAGCCTGCATCGGCCTTACATCTCATGCGTAGACGCTTGCTTCTGTGCTGTGGGGAGCCCGGAAGGAAATGGGGCTGCAGGCTGGACCTCAAGTCTGGCCAGGGAGCGTACGCAAGGGTGCCGGGTCCCAGCATGGCCCATACGCAGAGACCACCCTCCTGGCTCTGCCACCCCAGCTGTGCCCAACAGGGCTGGGGCCTCAGCACAACCTTCCCACGTCAGGAGCCGCAGGGAGGTGACAGCACCGGCCTGGGCTGGGGGACAGGACTGGCAGGGTGGCGCCCTGGAGGGCCTGCCCCTGGGGGCCCAGGCATCTGCAGGGCTGGGACCAAGCCTATAACCACAGCGGCTGAGTAACTTGTTGACACGGCTTGCTTGCTGGGTCTGCCTTCTCAGACTCTCGACCCAGCTAGGGGAGCGCGGGAGAGGGTGTGGCACAGCCCGGCAGGAAGACAGCCCTGACCCCAGACAGCAACATTTCAGGAGCCTGGGGCACCCGCGGCTGGTGGAGGGGACGCTTTCAGAATAGGCTGGAGTAAACAGACGCAGTGCGGATGACCAGCATCTGATGGAGACACCAAGGATGCAGTGGGTGGGCTGACGCAGGCCTGTGTCCATGTCCCCACTGCTGGCTGTGGGAGGTGCTGGCCGCCAGCTGGGGTTGGGGCCCCATGGAGGTGGCTGTGGTGGGCGAGGAGCGGCAGGAAGGAGGCTGAGGATGGCAGGGAAGTGCCCCTCTGGGAACTCCAGGGACTGGAACACGGCTGAGGTGTGGTGACGCCCCTGGCATGCTGCCCTGCTAAGGGTTGCTCCCTCTCAATGTCACCTCCTTTGGGTGACAACATACTGGGGCCATGGGCTCAGCTGGCAGGGCCTCCTCCCCTTCAGGACAGCACAGCTGGTACGGGGGTAGAGCTGCTACCTGGCCTTTGGAAGGAAGTGCAGGCTGCACCCTGGGACCGCAGCTGCGGGGCTGAGGCCAGGCCGGCGCCAAGATGCTAGCCACCAGGTGCTAGAGTGCACACCAGGCTGCTGGGGACTGCGGGTGGGTGCTCAGGCCCTGCCCCAGACATGCCCTCCTGCAGGAGGACCCAGTCCCCTCTCCTGGGGACCGTTGCCCTGGAAAGTAGCTTCTTGGATCTACTGTCCCAGCTGTGCACAGAGCCGGTCCGAGGGCAGGGGAGCAATGCCTCTGAGGAGACCTGTAGCACTCTGAGCCGAGGGCCCTTCCCTGCGCGGGGGGTGGGGGATGCACGGCCAAGGCCCAGCCACAGCATTCTGACTCGAGCCCCCACCACACTGCTGCCTTCGACGACCTGTCCTGCTGCGTCACGCACCCCCAGATGCCTCGCCTGAGGGCCCACAGCGGGAGGAGCGGTGGCAGTGAGAGCTGAGCAGGACCAGGCGAACGGCTACCCGCAGCTGACCCCGCAGACAGCCAGGCGGCTCTCGGACGAACCTCGGAAACCGTGGGCCCCTGTCCAATTCGGGCTGCCAGATGTCGTCCAGTCGCACTGGCCACAGGCCAGCCTTCCCCAGAAATGGCCTGTGGGAGGGGACAGGCCCGGCAGTGCAGGCTCCCGCACACCGTGAGAACCCGGGCAGTGCCATGCCTCTGCCTCAGTTTCCCCATGTGGGCCGTGGGGAGAACTCCCAGAGCAGCCTCTCAGGAGAGAGGCCTGGTACTGCCAGAGAGCCGGATGGCCCCGCCCCGGCCAGCATGCCAGGAGGCTGTGCGCATCCACATCCGGTGGCCACTGGTGCCTCCTCCATCCCTGTGCAGGGGGCACAGCTGCACCTCATGATCTAGCCCAGGTGGGCGGCTATCCGCCCTGGGTGGGCCTGCTTCCTGGAGGCGGCGGCAACCAGTGGACAATCAGTCTGAGACAGGAGCCAGCCCAGGGGACACACAGCAACCCCCTCTGCCTCCAGACCCAGCTCGAGGGCCCATGACCTTGGTCTGGGCAGATGGGCATGGCCGGCAGCTGGGTGAGGAATTCAGGGACAGGCTGGCCAGCACAGCATTACCTCAGCCCGTGACCCCGCCTGTTAGCTGGCCGCCAGCCCACCCCACATCCCATGCCTGGTCGTCTCGGCCCACCCCACTCCACCCCGTGTCGCCAGCCTGGGTCTCGGCCACACTGCAGGGCACATGTAAATATTTGGTCCTGCCCGCCCCCTGAATGCACTGTCGTCTGGCAAAAGGAAACCGCGGAGCCGGGTGTCTCACGCACACCTTTAATAAACAGCTGTTGAATCACGCCTACTGCCTGCTCCCGTTTCACGCGGGCAAGCATGGGGGTGGAGGTCGGGAGGATGATGTTTTGGGCCTTCTGTCCTGGCTGCCTCGGCCCTGGGTCCACATGTGGATGGGAGCCTCACTCCCTCCAGGAGTAAGACCAGAGACGACAGGAGCTGGGCTGGGTGCTCCAGTGTGATCGAATCCCACAGCTGGCAGGTGGGTCCTGCACGGCACAAGTGCCAGCCCTGGGGTGCACCCACACCTTAGGTCAGGGTCCCCACCTGAGGTCCCAGCTCAGATCCAGCCCTCCCGGGCAATGGCTCCTCACATGAGCACTGCCCCCACAGGGGACAGAACCCCCATCCTCTGCGGGAACCTCTGGGGACCCACAGGTCACACAGAGATGGGCAGGGCCAGCGGGTGGGTCTCTCCAGCTCAGTCTTATGGGAGGAGGCAGTGAAGCAGGGTCGCCCGGGGGGAGGATGCACACGCCGGCCCTTGGGTGCTGGGAACCCTGCAGAGGCCCAGTCTGGGGCCCCATGGTGATCGGGCCCCAGCACAGGAGCCCTGGGGCTGGTGGCATCCATGCTGTCCCAGACCTGACCCTCAGGGGAGGCGCATGCCTGGCTGAGGCAGGCGCGTCTGTCAGACCACGAGCCATGCCTGGTACAACCACACGCCCCGGGCAGGCTCTGTACCCTGGGTCTCCAGTATCCAATTGTGCGTAGACCACAGAACACTCGGAACCCGGAACCTGCTTCTGGGACCCAGAGGCCTAGCTCCAGGGTGAGTCAGGTCAGGTGTCACAGGGAGGAGCAAGGATCCCGTGAGTCCTGGACACGCTGCCCAGGGTGCGGGCTTGTGTAAGCTGCCAGCCAGGTCAGCCTGAGGAGGCAGCCACAGTCCCCGGCAGTGCCACCTGCTTCAACTGGCCTACGTCCCGCTCCAGCTGCTCACCGGCCCGCTGCAGGTCCTCACACTTCTGCTTCAGCTGGTTGCCCACCTGTTGTAGCCGCTGGTTCATGGCCACATAGGCCCGGCTCTGCTGGTAGAGCTGTTCCTGCTGGGCCTCAGTGTCCTGGGCCCTCCCAGAGGGGCCTGGGAAGTCTGGGGACAGGACACACAGCCTGTTGGTCATGGAGGAGGCAGGCAGAGGACTCAGTCTGCCCCCGAGCAAAGCATGTGACTGGCAGGCTTGGGTCACGGAAAAGGCCTAATACCTGCATCCCACTGCCCTGCCTGGGGGTCACTTCTGCTCCTGTGAGAGGCATTGACCCCATGATGGAATCAGTGAGCAGGCTGGCTCTCATGCCTGCTCTAGCAGCCTAATGTGCAACGTCCACCTCCCAGAAATCTCCCCGTGGCCGTGTAATGCATGAAATCAATACTCATGGAGCCAGGAGGTGGAGGAGGCGAGGACAGTATTGACATGCATTTCCCCGTTGACCCACTTTTTAAAAAGCGAGGGCCCAGGGGCAAGGCAGAAAAACTGCAGGCTTCGGGGTCACTGAGGGACATGCCCGGTCCTTTCCTCTCTCCTGCTCCCCTTGTCTATAAGCACGCCGAGAAACTCTGGTTCTGATTAAAATCGTTTCAGCACCTGCTTCAGCAATAAGGTGGACAAGGCCAGATTAATGCACGTGGAGAACAGGTTTGGCAGCGGACAACACAGGCCAGCAGGGGAGCCCCCTCTCCATTCGGTGGGCCCTGGCACCGCCCGTGCTCAGCAGGCCTGGGTCCCTGATTCCTAAACCAGGGCTCAAGCCGCCTCGGGATGACCCCAGCTGCAGGCTGGGGATAAACAAGGGGTGAAGAGGTTTTCAGCAAAAGACTGGACCCAAATATTTCTGGCATGGCGGGGCCAGGTCCACGCATAAATGGATGAGCGTGGTTATGTGCCCATACGACTCCACAGGCACTGAAATCTGAATTTCCTATCGTTTCCACTTTTCATGAAACATTCTCTCCCAGCAATTAAAACACGCAAAACCCATTCTTAGCTCTCGGGCTTGACAGGAACGGGGTGCAGGATTTGGCCGAGGCCCCTCCCTAGGTTGCCGACCCCTGTTCCAGACGGCCTTCGGAAGGTGCCAGTCTGCGCTCTCGATGCCAGGGTTCCCCCGGGCAGCGGCGGCGTGCTTCCCCCACGCCCTCGGTGCTGGGCTCTCGGGTCGGCCTTGGCTCCGCCTACCTGCCGGCGCCAGGGAGGTGAAGACCGGGTCGTCGGCGGGCGCCCCTCGCACGTCCGCCAGGAACTGCTCCACCGTGGGGGGGGCAGGGCGGGTGGGCAGCACCACGCGCTTCTTGGCCTTGGAGCCCATCCCTGAAGGTGCCGACGGGGACGCTGACCAGGGCGTCCACCTCTCGGCCTTTGCCTGGGCCGTTCCTCCCGCGCACCCGCCGCAGCCCCGCTCCCGGGGCAGCCCGCCCTGCGCTCCGCTCTCAACCCGCCTCGGGCCCTCCCAGCGCCGGGCACCACCTCGGCCTCCGCTTCCCCGTTGAAGCCTTGAGCGCCGCCGCCACCTCACCGGGCCGCGCGCCCCGACCGTGCCAGGGCCTCCGAGCAGCCACTTCCGCTTCTGGTCGCGGAGAGGCCCCGCCCTCCAGGCCCCAGAAGCTCACTTCCGGCCTCCGCCGCCGGCGAAGCCACGCCCCCTATTAAAGGAACCGCGCCCGCGAGGGTCCGGCCGAGAGAAGCCCGAGGGCTGAGCCTGGGAGCGCAGGTGTGGGCACGGGGTCCGGTGCCGGCGCCTTCTCCGCGTGGGAAAGCGTCCGCGGCCCCGACTCCACCAGACCGGGACGCGGCCTCCAGCCCACGTGGCTGCTGGGGGAGCGCAGTTGCTCCCCGCAAGGTGGGTTCCGTGCGGCCGCGTTGTCAGTCGCCTTGGGAGCGGAGCCTGGGGTCTGTCGTGTGGGAACCGGCCTGTTCCCAAAGCGGCCGCCCGCGCTGGCACGCCGGGGCGCTGCGTGCCCGGCGGGAGCGCTCCCCCCTTCCGGCACGGGCAGCGTGTTCGGGGAGCAGGGGCGGAGGCCAGGGGCTCGGGACAGTGTGGCCCTGCCGGGGCCCGGCTCCTCTCTGCCCCAAGTCCGGGGCCGGGGCTGAGCCGTGGTGGCGCTCGGGGTGCTGGCAGGAGGGGAGAGCGGCGGAGGAGGTCAAGGTCCTGAGAAAGAGCTCCGAGATCGGCTGCAGGCCTGCCGCTCCGAGGAGAGAAGCTGTTTCCTCCGCATCCCCACTCCGGGGCCGGTGATTGACGTGCCCTCGCCCGGGCCTTCACTTCCCCGCTTCCCCACTCCCCGCAGGGCGCTCTTCTAAGCCGGGCAGCTTCCTTGAAGGACCTTGCATTCCGGTAGGAGGACGTGGACCACCAACAGACCCTCTGAGTGATGCAGTAAATGCATCCGAGAAAGACTTAAGCGAGGCAGGCTTGCTGGGAGCGCTGGGTGAGGGGCGGGCAGGTAGGAGCTGCCCCAGTACCCAGGACACTGCATCAATATCCCTCAATTTTTTCAGTGCTCAAACCAGTAACTTAGGGTTTCGCTGTGGTTGTTGTATCGCTTAGGATGTCTTATTCCTGAAGGTCTTTTTAAGGCAGAAGCCGACTGGGGCTTGAATGCTGTGTGTAATCACCCGTGATCACCACAACCCCCCAAGATGAGTTCTAGGGAACAGCGGGGGGCTGACAGTGATGTTGTGTGGACACCTCCAAATGTGACTTACTGTTCTTTCGTATTTTTCACCTTGTTGCTTTTCCTAAGACTAAAGCAGTTGAGAAGTGTTTCTTACTGAATTATTCCACTATGCACAAAATCCCCAACAAGGTATCTACTAATAAATTGCCCCATCTTTAAATGTCCTTTTTATATCTCTCTACACTAAAGATTTTCACTTCCAGTGTTCACCTTACAAATATTCTAAATAAGAATGTAACTGAATATTAAGAGAAATCATTAATAATAAAGCTCCTACATAGCAAAAGTCGGCTTATGAATAATTTTAGGATGTTGTCACGTCCACAAAGAGTGTCATCTAATTGATTGTTTGCTCCTTGTATGGTTAATGCATTATAATGTACAGATGTAAATAGCGTGGAATTAGGAGTCAGGCAACCTGGAAGTGAGTGCCAGCCGTGCCCACTGCCAAGGCGATGATTCCAATCTTATAGGTATTTTGTAGCAAAAAGTCACCATAAAATCTCATGCTGCCTAATGGCTTAGGACCATAGCTTCTGGAGTAGAAAACCTGTGTTGTGTCCCACTGGGCATGTACTCAACCTGTCCATTCTTAATTTCCCCAGAGGGTCCTGCCACCTTCCCAGCACATGCCGGGTGGAGAAGGTGCGCTGCAGCCCGCAGTCAGGGTGGCCACGCCGCCGTGTGAGCCTGGTGTCCCAGTACCAGCAGTCTAGGCCGTAGNCTGCATCCCTGGCCCTTTGTCTCTCACCTGCCTCTACATCCCCTAGACAGTGCATCACCCCGGGGCTCTCTTGTCCCCTCCGGGCAGGGGCAAGCCAGGAGCTCTGTCCTCTGCGTTATCTGTAAATAGAAGCCTCGCCCATGCTCTCCTTCCTTGAGTGTTTGCAAAGTTCATTCTCTGAGCCTGCGAACAAGAACACCAGCATCAGCTTCTCTGAAGAGCCCGAAGACGGGGAGCCCCCAGAGCCCGTGCCTGGGTGCAGAGGAGCGCACCAGGGACCAGAGGGCCCAGCCACCTCCCCAGCACACGCCGGGTGGAGAAGGTGGGCTGCAGCCCACAGTCAGGGTGGCCACGCCGCCGTGTGATCCTGGTGTCCCTGCACCAGCGGTCTAGGCTGTAACGCACAGACCCTGGGCAGGACGGACCGCTGGCCCAGTGACCACCCAGCAGGCCCAGGGCTGCTGCTTTGTTTCTGGGCCCAGAGCTCTTCTGTGTCAGGTTGAGGCTGGTGGGCCGTGCAGGATGACAGGTCTGACCTGGGCCCCTGCCTTGCTAGGGGCCCGTCTGCCGTCCTCCTGCCCAAACCTCCCTCCCTATGTGGCCGG